AACCAGCACCTGTTGGCTGGCAGCAAAGGGAGCGAAGGGAAGGCGAGGGGATTAAGGGGCACAAAGAGGGGACGAGTCGCAGGAATCCAGGTGTCTGAGCGGCGAGAAAATCCGGCGAAGAAGGATGCTCAGGTGGAGCAGATGAGCGCTAAGCTGGAGCAGATGAGCGCTGAGCTGGAGCAAATGAGCGCTCGGCTGGAACAATTGAACGCTCAGCTGAAACAGATGAGCGCTGAGCTGGTGGAGCTGAGCGCTCAGCTGGCAGAGAAGGATGCGCTCCTTCTCCGCCAATTGCGCGTCCCTCCTCGCCAGGTAGTCATCTTCTCCGCCAGCTCATCACTCATCTTCTCCAGCTGAGCGCTCATCTGCTCCAGCTGAGCGCTCATTTGCGCCATCTGAGCATCCTTCTCCGCCAAATGCGCATCTTTCTCCGCCGGCGAATACAATCTAATCATCGTCCAACACGTCTCCCGCCTTAACCAGCATATGAGGGCACAATGCACGCAAAGGATGCAAGGGGACAAGGGGTGACGAAAGGGACAAGGCGCGCAAGGGGCCCAAGGCGCACAAGGGGCGCAAGGCACGCAAGGGGCGCAAGGGGCAACGCGTACAAGGGGTCAACATAGCAGTGGGTTTGTGAGGCAAACGAATAGTAAGAAGCTAATCCGGATTATTATTAGTAGAGAGGCGGGCCTGGGAGTGGAGTGGACGATCGACGAGGTCGAGATGTAAGAGCCAACGGGGAGATTTGAGTGAGGCTTTGATCCAAGATAATTCCGACAGTATTAGCAACCGTGGGCATGTTTGAAACGCCTCCGAACTCGACCCCTTTTCCTTCGGTTGTAATCTAGTCTTGCAACGTCTCAATTCATGAAGTCAAACCCATGCAATTGCTGTGACATTAGGTCCAATCCTCAACTCATCCTTGTGTGGTAGAGATCGTTTCACAACTTACCTCCAATCTTGTGTTACTCTAATTCCTTCACACACTCAAACCCGTTCCATTCTCAACCCACATCTCAGACCCCTCCCTCCGCCTCACTAATTACGCACGGACAACCCAGCAACAGCCCATCCCTCAACTCATCGACTTACCGTGGGCCCGCCCATCCACATCTCGTAATAGCTCACGCTGTTTTTCTCATTCAGCACGCCCGCTAACCAACCAAGCGGTCCATACCCCACCTCCCTCACTTATCCCTCTTTCCCCATCTCCCCTTCGCCCCCCATCGCCTCACCGTTGATCCGCCCGTCCACATCTCGTCGTCGCTCACGCCGTCCTTCTCGTTCAGCACGCCCGCCACGCGCAGCGCCGCCAGGGTCTGATCCCAGTCGCCGTGCACGTCGCCGACTGGAACGGTGGGAAGAGAGGGGAGAGGGAGGGAGGGGGGAGGGGAAACAGAGCGGGTTGGATTGGGGGGTGGATCATGGGGTGGACTGGAAGATGGCGTTCAGCACGCCCGCCACGCGCAGCGCCGCCAGGGTCTGATCCCAGTCGCCGTGCACGTCGCCGACTGAGGTGAAGGGAGAGGGGAGTGGGGGGGGGGGGGGGGTTGGGAGGAAAAGGAGAGTGGGGGAGGAGCGAAAACTTCTCAATCAAAGTGGCCGTTACGGTCTGATTGCGATCGCCGTGCACGTTCTCGGATAAAGGTGGGATGGAAGGGAGACCATGAGGACACGTGAAAAGGAATACTCACTCGCTACAATCCGCTGTCCCGGTGCCGCCACCTTGAACGGCGGCTCCGCCATCTCCCGCGCTTCCGCCAGGCTCACCGCCTGCCACTCCCCCCTCCCCGCCGCAGCATCCCCCCCGCGCACCCCTCCCCACAGCCCCCGCCCGTTCCCGTTGCTGCTTCCGCGCGCCGCCCCGTTACCGTTCTGCGGAACCCAATCGTCCCCAGCCAATGCCGCGAACGTGTCGGCAAAAGCCCCGTCCGCAAGCGCCTCCCCCGCAACCGCCGCTCCCGCTGCTTTTGCCGTTCTGATTAGGCGGCGGGAATTCCGCCGCTTCTCAAGGCCCTTAGTCGTCGAACTCTTGCTCAGCCTTCTTGCCGGCTTAAATTTGTCCAAATCGCTTACTGCAGCAGCAGCTCCGTCCGTTTCGTGCCACGTGGCGGGGCACGTGGGCAAGAGCGCGAGCGTGGAATTGGCGGAGGCGGAAGAACGACGGGAGGATGTCTGCGCGGATTGCGCAAGGGCGAGCGCGGAGACGGGTTGTAGCAGCGCGAGCACGGAGAAGAGCGACAGTTGCGCCGCCAGAGCCACCGCGAACCGCGTCTGGCGGTGCGCGTGCGGGCTTAGGTCGAGAGGCGCCGCGAGATGCGGCACGGTGAGCGGAAGCGAGGCCGAATAGGAGGCTTCAAGGGACGCTTGGAACGAGCCGGGAAACGGGGAAGGCATTTGTGAGCTGTTAGTGGTAGTGATTGCCGTGGTTGCGGTGGAGGTAGACAGATACGCAGAAGCCACTCCAGCGGCGGCGCCGGTGGCGACAGAAGGGGATGAAGCTACTTCAGCTGCGGATGGTGCTTTCTTTGATGGCGAGCGGTGAAGCGGTGATGACTGCGGAGGCGCGATTCGGTGGGATCCCGATGGTGAGGAAAAAGCGGAGGTCGTTAACCGCCTCGAGGTAGTATCCTCGCCGCTCTGCCTCCCCTGATTGGATGAAAATTCGTTTCTGCCAACCCTAGACGCGGGCAGGTTCCCCTGGGAAGGAACGGGTGTTCTTTTGCTCTTGTCACACTTTTTACTGTCGCCGCCATGTCTACCCGACGAACTTGGACCTCCCGTTACTGTCACCAAAGCGCGGCGATGTCCTCTGTGCGCAACGCCTGCCACCATGCTTCCAGCCCATCGCGACGTTGCACCCGTTCGCCACGAGTGCCACGTGGCTGAAACTGACACGTCAGCATCCGACGAATTTGGGAACACCAAGCTGCAAGGGCTCTGACGGTGGCTTGAGTACCTCCGGCCGGCAAGCTGCTGGCGGGACGCTTCCGCGAACGCTCCGCAGAAGCTGCTCGGCTCGGCGCGCAGCGAGGGAGTAGCAGGTGAGACTGCGGATGAGAGGACGGTGTGCGATGAGAGGGAGGTGGCAGTGGTAACGCCGTTGCTGGCTGTTGTGTCTAAACGTAAGGCAGGGAGGCCTCGCATCGGGCAAACCAGGGCTGCTGCTGCTGCTGCAGTCGCCATCACGAGAAAACGGGATTCGACAGGGGAGAAATAGGAGAGTCGAATAAAAATAGGACGGGATTGAAATATACGGAGAGAGAATTAACGGACACGAGCCTATGCTCCTGCCCTCTGGAAAAATGGTATGGCGAACTTGCCTCGTGTAAGGAGGACGAAGCTCGTCACTACCAGAAAGATAGGAAGGAAGAAAGTTTGAATGGTGCAAATCTTGCAGGGGGCAGACTCCGATCTGGCTGAATTGGGTGTGAACAAGCAGGGGAGTTGGGGTGGATTCTATGGTGGATATGAAATCGTTGGAAACACCGCTGGGGTTCCCAAGAATTCACGATAGCGTTCGACAGCTTGTCGCAATGAGATGTTACTTCATCGCTCCATTCGCCAGCCGCGGACATGAGTGGCTTTTCGCAGGGCCATGTGCGTGAACTTCAACCCCAAGCCGCAACGCCCGAAGGGCGGCTTTTCACTGACGACATTGCCACGTAGCCCTGGGACGCCGACGCCCCACCACATCTTCGCAGCCAAGCTGTGTCCACCACGTGTATTCCTGCAGATGAGCGTAATCTTCCGGGCCCTCTGGCAAAAAGGCACTGATTCACTGATCCGCCGCAAGATGGCATCCCAGAGGCCAGTCTGCCCGTTCGCCACGACGTTTGGTCGGCTGGAATCACTCGTCTCTCCGGGGCCACTCAAATATGGACAGGCAGGGTAGGGTACAGTTTAGCAACTCCAACCCCGATACAATACACCCTCTTTCTAGACCTTCTCACCAGCACACAATTGTAATATCTCACATGAGAATGCTTCTCAAAGTTTGCTCTATGGCTGCCGTCCTCTATTATTTAGCAAACTTGGTGTCCGCGATTTTCGCACACACAATCTCACAAGCCCAAGCAACCCACCTGTCAGTCATCCATCCTTCCAACCCCAAGGAACCTCTCTCGATCTGCTTGGCGGGAACTTCGAATTTCCCGCCAAGCCCAAAAATCTTCGCAGCAGAACCACTATGATCCACGATGTCGCAGAACGCGTGGTAACCACACAGAAACAAGACGCACTGTTCTCCCGCAAATCCATGAAGCACCTGGACTGGGGCTCAGGTCCAACTGCTTCTCAGTCTTGGCTTACCAGTTAAGCAGACTAATCTTAGTTAGGCGGTTGATTTAGTAGCCGGTATCTAGTTTCGGAAAAACTACGGCTCATAAGGGTCAGATCATTGGGCGAGGCAGAGTTTCTTACATGTATCGGCCATTTCATTATTCACACTGACAACAAACATATTTATCTCTTCGGGAAGTCTTCACTGCTTAGCTAAGAAGAACATGGCAGGAACTAGCGTTGCTACCGCCTCCCGGGTTGCCAGATTGCAGTCTAATTTCCCCTCGAGTTGCCCTCTCACATCGAAGCTTAGTAATTATCAAAACATTACTTACCATAACTCCGTTAGTGCTTCTATACGTTCGCAACAGCAAGGAAATAAGAGGCCACACGGCCATAATCAGGCTCAGACACCCACCATCGCAACCACCGCAGGCACCATTCTCAGACTGTCCAGTTTTTGCGGGGTACCGCGAGTGTCGCGAAGCGTTTTAACCTCTAATTTTAATTCCAATAGCACCTGTAGTGCGGTGCACAATGTGAGGCGAGTCAAGTTTCAAGCTGAGGGTCTTACTCGGCGTTGTTGCGTGGCGGCCGCGTATTCCGCCGCGGATGGCGCGGATGGAGGAAGAGTCGGAGGCGATGTTGTGACGGAAACGAACAATTCGACGGTGTCCGTTTACGACGCGGACGAAAATGGAGGAGACGAACCGTTTATGAGCCTTCCGATAAGTTATTACGAGGTACGGCATTAGAGTTTAATGCAGAAATTAAAGTGGCTTGTGTGTTTACGGATGCCTGTAGCTGTTAACCGAATGCGCGTAGCTTGTACGGAGGCAAACTGTTCCTTTATTGTTTACTGTGTTTCGTTTCCTGAAGACAATCTGTGCATTGACGCTGAAAGTCGATCCTCCTATTCTGATAACACCCGCTGTTGCACTTACAGCCTCACAGGGTTGCGCACACTCATAGCCTCTGCTGTTGCCAACATGTGTTTTTAACCACATAAACTGATCGCCAGAATGCTGTTCGTACCGCGTACGACGGTCCTGTTACTTAGAGCATCCGAAAGTATACCCAGGTGCTGCGAGTGCACCCCGAGACCCACACGGCCACCATCGACCTCACGCTCCACTCCCTGCTCGCCTCACCATCCTCCCCTCCCCACCACTGCACAAAGCCCATCCACCACTCCCACCTCTCTCCCTTCCAGCTGCTATAAGTCCACCCCGAGACCCCCACGGCCACCATCGAACTCATTTGCTCGACTCCATGCTCGCATCACCTCTCATCACTTCCCGAGCTACCCCACCCAACCCCCATCCACCCCCCTCTCCCTTTCCCACCCCAGGTGCTACAAGTCCACCCCGAGACCCCAACAGCCACCATCGACCTCATGCTCGACTCCATGCTCGCCTGTTTCTCTCACCACTCCATATGCTTATAACCCACCCCCCCAACTCTCCAGGTGCTGAGAGTTCACCCCGAAACCCCCACAGCCACCATCGACCTCATGCTAGACTCCATGCTCGCCTCGCCGCCTCAAGAAGGCTTCACCGTCTCCGCCCTCACGGTCAGGGCGGAAGTTTTGGAGGCTGCCCGGGACACGCTGCTGGATCTGGAGCTCCGGGCAGAGTATGACGAGGACCTGAAGGCAGCAGCTGCAGAGCAGCAGCAGGGGTTTGGGGGTGTGGGGAGGGGTGGAGGGGAGTATGGGGGCGAGACTGCGATCATGGTTGATGTTCCCATGAGCCGGGTGAGTTGTTGTTGTTTCTCTTCCCACCTCGTTTCTCCTCCTGAAACTGGTAGGTTGCTTGTCTGTCATGAATTCTTGTGTTCTTTCAGCTGTCACTTTCCCGCAATACCTACAGCTCTCTATATGTACATAAGTTTGATGTTTACATGTAGGGCTGTGTTATTCTCCATATATTTCCCAGGTCCCTGGCGTGTTGTGCCTGCTGCAAGAGGCGGGTCGCTCTGCTGACGTGGCAGAGGCGGGCCTCGACCTCCTCTCCCGCCCGGATGGCGATCCTGCTTTCCGTGCTGACGTGGCACTCGCCACAGCGTTGGCGTACTCGGACCTGTCGCGCGACGCCATGTCAGCAGACCCGCCTGCAGTGGCACAGGGCTGCGAGCTGCTGGAAGCTGCGCTGAAGCTTCTGCAGGTGAGTGTGCGTGGGAAGGCTTTGACCCGAGGTTCGGGGGTTTAGGGTGTGAGGTTCTGGTTCCAAATGGTGTGTGTTGATCTAAGCTCAGGACGCCTTCGTTTTGTCTGCTAATCCCCTCTCTTCAAGAATCCGCTCACCCCTCCACTCAGACTTCCTCTGTCTCACTGCTCATTCCTCACCCCCGTGCCGTGCCGCCCTGCCTCCGCCTCTTTGTCTGCCTCTTATCCTCACATTCTCACGTCATCCCCTTTCCCGCTTCTCAGGACGAACGGGGCCCATGTCTGCCCCCCATCCTTGTTTGAAGCTCCTCAAATCAAACCCAAACTTTTTTCTTGGTACCGTCCTCCTCCTCTCTTCCTCCCCCTCTTCCTCTTCCCCATCCATCAGGACGAGGGCGGGCCAGGGCTGACGCCATCCCTCCCTGCAGGCAGCAATAGAGGAGTCGCCGGGTCGAAGCTTCTCAAACACAAACGTCCTCCTTGTGCCCGCAACCCTCCTCCGCTCCCCTTTTCCCCTTTTTCTTGTCTCTCCCCTTCCTCAGGACGAGGGCGGACCAGGGCTGGCGCCGTTCCTGCACGCAGCGATAGTGGACTCGCTGAGGGAGAAGGGCCCCACACGCGTGCTTTTGTTACCCCTGTCATATAAGCCTCTACCCTGCCTTTCCACCTCCTCTTCGTCAGGACGAGGGCGGACCGGGGCTGGCGCCGTCCCTGCAGGCAGCAATAGAGGACTCGCTGCAGGAGATGGGGCCCACACGCGTGCCCTCTTTTTACCCCCTGTCGTTGAAGCCTTCTCCCGTGTCTGTCCACCTACCCTCCTCCCCCCATCAGGACGAGGGCGGGCCAAGCCTGGCGCCGTCCCTGCAGGCGGCCATAGAGGACTCGCTGAGGGAGATGGGCCCCACACGCGTGCTGGAGCTGCTGGCGCTGCCCCTGGACAAGGAGCACGAGGACGCCCGGAGCGAGGGCATACAGGTGGGCGGTGGGCTGATGGGTGGGTGGATGGGTGGATGGGTGGATGGGTGGGTAGGTCCCTTGGACAAGGACCACGAGAATGGGTGGGGCGAGGGCGTACAGGTAAGAGGGGGGGGTGGGTGAGCGGGTGCAAGTCGTAGCAGCTGAGTCTGGGAGTTAGCTGAACTGAGGCATACAGGTGTAGGACCTCCTGACCTCCCACCTCATCGCTCACTTGGCTTATGCTTCCTCTTTCCCCCCACCAGGCCATGCGGGACCTCCTCTGGTCCCAGAACCCTGAGGCCACTCTCTCCTTTTCCTCTCAAGGCAGTTTCTCCCGCCATGTGTTCATGCGGGAGGCCTTCCTGCGCCTCACCACCTCGGAGCTCATCGCCCACTTCGCTGCCGCCCCGCCGCACGTCGACGCCGGCATCCTCGAGGCCTACTGGGTCGCGCTCGCCTTTGCCGGCCGGGGATTCTTCCTGCGCCGCCCGGCCGACATCGTCCAGTCTGACGCGCTGCTCAAGGAGCTGAACGAGTCCACCGCGTACCGTTTGTTGGTTAACGTGAGCACGGGCGGCGGGGTGGGGGAGGCGGGCGGCGGAGTGGCCGGGGCGGTGGCGGGGACAGGTGGCGGGGGAGGATTGGGCAGAGAGGGTGGGGGAGCAGGCGAAGCAGGAGTGATAGCAGGAAGCGCAGCAGGAAGAGAAGCAGGAGCAGCAGGAGGATCAGGGGCAGGAGCGGGAGAGCGGGTGCAAGGTGGGGCGGGGAGTGCAATGGCGATGGTGGCAGGGACAGACGTGCCAGCGGATCTGTCAGTGGAGAGGGCGATGTGCGCGCTGCTGCTGGGGCAGGTGGGCGCGTGCAAGCGGTGGCTGGGCGTGCATGTGACCCCTCCCTGTGGCGACCTTGCTGTCACCGAGTATGTCTATGCCAACTCGCCTAATGCCCCTCCGGTTGACTCGTGGTACGGCGGCAGCAGCGGTGCAGGCAGTAGCAGCAGCAGTACAGGTAGCAGCACAGGTAACAGCACAGCCCCTAGCATAATCACCACGGCTGCAGGCGGAGCAAAAGCAGCAGCAGGAGCAGGAGGAGCGGGGGCAGGTGAGGAGGATGTGCTGTTACCGGGGCTGTGCCGGTTGCTGGAGGTGTGGCTGAGGGAGGTCGTAGCCATGCGGTTCAGAGACACCTCCCACCTCCCTGTTGTTCTCTCTGAGTACTTTGATCATCCTGCTGTGGGGAGTTTTCTGGATGCGTGGGATCAGGCGCAGGGTGTGGGGGGAGGGGGAGGAGGGAAGGTGGGGGAGAGTGGGAGAGGGGAGGGCGGCGGGATGCGGAATGCTGCTATGGAGGTGATTCGAGGGGTTTTTCCGTGGATGCAGGGAGGGGGTGATGCAGCAGCAGCAGCAGGAACAGCAGCAGCTGAAAATCCTTTCATCGTTTCCACATCAGCCACTGCCACCACCTCCTCCTCCTCCTCCCTCTCCCCACCCTTGCCCACCGATTCGTTACAAGACGACTCGTTACAAGACCCGTCCTCGTCGCTCCCACCAGCAGAGCTCGCCCGATCACGCACCAGACGAGAGCTCTTTGGCGCCTCGCCCCTCCTCGACCCCCAAGGCTCACCCATCCCCCTCCGCACCGCCCAGCCCGAATCCCTCCCCACCTTGGGAATATCCGGGACCGAATCTGTGACCAGCAGTGGCAGGGGTAGATTAGGTGGGAAGGTTGGGATGGTGGTGGCGGGGGTGGTGGCGGCGGCGGTGGTGGTGGTGGGGGGGTTCATGGCGTGGCGCATGCGGTCGGGGCGGTTTGGGCCGTCACTGCTGGGAGTGGAAGCGGCGATGGTGGGAGCAGCCAAGGAGCAGGCTGCTTCTGGTGAGTGTGGAGACTGTTTCATTCACAGTGGGTGTGCAGTAGGGGCTGGTATGGTTGCTAGGCTTGGGGTTTTGGGGCTTGGGGTTTGGGTTTCATGGCGTGGCGCATGCGATCGGGGCGGTTTGGGCCGTCACTGCTGGGAGTGGAAGCGGCGATGGTGAGAGCAGCCAAGGAGCAGGCTGCTTCTGGTGAGTGTGGAGACTGTTTCATTCACAGTGGGTGTGCAGTAGGGGCTGGTATGGTTGCTAGGCTTGGGGTTTTGGGGCTTGGGGTTTGGGTTTCATGGCGTGGCGCATGCGATCGGGGCGGTTTGGGCCGTCGCTGCTGGGCGTGGAAGTGGCGATGGTGGGGCAGCAGGCCAAGGAGCAGGCGACTTCTGGTGAGTGGGAGGGTGTTAAATCCATAGAGGTTTGGGTTGTCGTTGCGACTCGGGGCGGTTTGAGCTGTCGCTGCTGGGGGTGGAAGCGGCGGGCGCAGGGCAAGGAGCAGGCGGGCGGCTTCTGGTGAGAGAGAAGGTTGTTTCACCCACAAAAGTGCGGTTGAGGCGGGTATGGCTGTTGGGCTTGAGGGCTGCGGTTTGGGGTTCATGGCATGGCACATGCGATCGGGGCAGTTTGGGCGGTCGCTGTTGGGCGTGGAGGGGGAGATGGTGGGGCAGGGCAAGGAGCAGGCGGCCTCCGATGAGTAGAAAGGTTGTTTCATGCAACGTGGTGTTTAAGGTTGTGGTGGCCACAATGCTGTTTGAGGTGCTGTGGTGGCGGGCGGGGGGGGTTGGTCATTGCTCCCCACACTCCTCTCCACAACTCTCACTCACTCTCCTCTCCCTCTCTCCTCTCTCTGCTCCCCACTCCCCTCTCATCCGTGACACTGGCTGATTGCCATCTCATCACTTCGCTGTCCCTCTTTTTGCCCTCCTTCTTTGCTGCCAGAGGTAGCAGCAGGTGCAGAGGAGTGCAGCGAGGTGGGAGGAGGTGCAGTGGGCAGTGCAGGAGGTGCGGCACTGGCAGGTGAAGGCGGCAGCGCTGGGGCAGTCAGTCACACCCTGCAGATCACACTCACTCTTTGCCCCTCACTTTCCCCACTCTTTCCTCCTCGTGCTGCTATTGCTCACTCTATACTTTCAGAAGCAGCAGCAGGCGCAGAGGAATATTCTGAAGTGGAGGAGGTGCAGTGGGCGGTGCGCGTGGTGAGGCACTGGCAGGAGGTGAAGGCGGCAGCACTAGGTCCGCAACACCGGGTGGACCGGCTGGGGGAGATTCTGGAAGGGCCCATGCTGGAACTGTGGCGGAACAGAGCCAAGGAGGTGGAGAACAACGGGTGGTTCTGGGAATACAGCTTCCTTAGTCTCAACGTGAGTAGAGATTTCTATGCCTGAATGTGAGTTGTATTGTGTTTGTGCCCTTTGAGACGGCTCGAAACTCAATCCTGGAGGGGGCGATGCTGGAGCTGTGGCGGAACAGAGCCAAGGAGGTGGAGAACAACGGGTGGTTCTGGGAGTACAGCTTCCTTAGTCTCAATGTGAGTAAATGTCTCTATCCCTTGATGTGACTTGTGTTGTGTCTGTTCCTCTTGACACGGCTCGAAAGTCGATCCTGGAGGGGCCCATCCTGGAGCTGTGGGGGAACCGAGCCAAGGAGGTGGAGAACAACGGGTGGTTCTGGGAATACAGCTTCCTCAGCCTCAATGTGAGTTGTACTGTGTTTGCGCCTATTGAGACGGCGCGGCTGGCCGGTGGATGCATGTCCATGTTCCGCCTCCGTCTTACTGCCCTTCCATTGTGTACCTCCTTCACCCCCTCCTTTGGCCACAGGTGGAAATGGCAGCAGTGAGCAAGTGCCAGAAGAAGGCAGTGGTTGAGGCGGTGGTGCAGGAGGCGAGGCGGCACGGCTGGTGGATGCAGCTGTATTCACTCATAGACCTGGTTCCCTCCCTTTTTCCTTCCCATCTTCCCTACCTTCCCCACAGGTGGAGGTGGCGGCAGTGAGCAAGTGTCAGAAGAAAGTAGTAGTAGAGGCAGTGGTGCAGGAGGCTGCTCGGCTGGTGGATGCGGCTGCACCCACTCATGACCCTCCCTCCTTGCTCCCTCCTCCCATGTCTTGTGTCCCCACAGGTGGAGATGGCAGCAGTGAGCAAGTGCCAAAAGAAGGCCGTGGTGGAGGTGGTGGTGCAGGAGGCAGCACGGCTGGTGGATGCAGCTGAACCCTGGTTCCCTCCCTGATTCTCTCCCTTTCTCCTTCCCACTTTTCTTCCCTCCTCCCCCCCCCACAGGTTGAGATGGCAGCAGTGAGCAAGTGACAAAAGAAAGCAGTAGTGGAGGCGGTGGTGCAGGAGGCACCGCAGCTGGTGGATGCAGCAGACCCGAACCATGGCCCTCCCTTGTTCCCTCCCTTCCTCTGTCCCATCTTTCCTTCCCCCCTTCCTCCCATCTGCCCCCCACAGGTGGAGATGGCAGCAGTGAGCAAGTGTCAAAAGAAAGCCGTAGTAGAGGCGGTGGTGCAGGAGGCGGCACGGCTGGTGGATGCAGCGGACCCGACCCACAACGATGCGTACAGAAGCACGTACACGGCGCGATACGAGCTGCTGCAGACCGGCACCTGCTGGAAGATCGTCGGCGGTACTGTGCTGCGATAGTGTGTGGTGATTTAGAGGCTTGTGCTGTGGGGTTGCGGTGTGCTGCTGTGAGTGGACGATGCGGTGGGTGTGTGCTGCAGACCGGCACCTGCTGGAAGATCGTTGGCGGCACCGTGCTGCGGTAGCACATAGGGATGACGCTTTTGGCAATTCTCATGAGTGGGGTGCGGGGGGATGGCAATGGAGATGCTGGTGTTGTTGTGCCGGGCGCTGCAGTGGCAAAGCAATGAAGATGTCGAACTCATACTGTGATGTGACTCTGATGTCAAATGATATGGGATGAGCTGGGCTTCGAGGGATGAGCTGGGCTGCCAGGCGGCCCCCTGGCCCCTGGGTATGGATGGGTACATGGATGGCGGCAGTGGGAGCTTCTCTCTCACCCAGCTGAACTGTGGCGAGGGACACACAAAAAAGCATGTGCACTTACTCTGGAGTAGTGGTCTAATGCACTAACGAAGAAGGGAAGTGAGGGAGGGGTGACAAATCGGGGATTTTTTCTGGCAGGCTAATGTATGTGTTGATCTAAGCTATTTCTGTGTGTAAGAGATGTTATGCCTGGACTGATTAGTAAATCATTGTCTTTCTATTGACGATGATATTTTTTCTCAACGTTTGTACATTTGACGAAAAGCATATGCCGCGTATCGTTCTCCCACATGTTTCTGGTCACCTCGGTCGCTCCCGCAATTTTGATCTACGCTTTCCTGCCTGTAACACCTCTCAGGAATACCGCCACGTCAGCCCTTGGGATAATGACGTGCCATCAACTGCTGCGCTCGCCGCAGCACCTTCTCTCTCTTTCCCGCCTCTCTCCCGTGCCTTGCGGCGGATCAAACGTCAGCGCGTCACTCACAGCCACGTGTCGAGCCGGCATTGGCAGATCTCCTCTCTGGCGCGGAACCCCTCTTCTCACAGACGAACGGTCGAGATTGCTCCATCGGCGGCATCGCAGTTCCGTCGTCCGAGCCGTGGCAGCAGCAGGAGCTGATGACGTGTCGGCCAGCTCAGCTACCAGTGGCGAATCGCAACGGCCGCATTCCGCCATTCGTGAAATTCAGGTACTTCACTCGCGATCGTGACCTTGCGCGTTGAATCAAAGAGGGACGGAATGAGGAGCGGAGCGAGGGGGAGAGGGGGAGCGAGGGGAGGAGGAGAGCGAGGGAGGGCGAGGATGGTGGGGAGGCGAGGGTAGGAAGGGCTGCTGTCAACCCGTGCAACCTCTCGCATCATATCTCGACCTTGCGATCTCAATGCAGCAAGTGGAGAGCGGAGGTGGGGGAAAAGTGGAGGGGAAGAAGTGTGGGTGGGGAAGAGGGGGCGGGGGAGGAGGTCGTAGACCATTAGGCAGGCGTCAACCCTCATTCAGTGTTGATCGACCCATCTTCCCCCCCTGGCCCTCTTCTTCCCCTTCTTCCCTTTCTCCCTGTCTCCCCCTCCTTCACCCCGGGCCTCCTTCCTCCTGTTTCGAGCACTCATCCCTCTACCCCCTTATGCCTCCCTCATGGCTTTCCCCCTTCCTCTCTCCTTGTCCATCACCCACTTCGCCCCACCCACCCACTCCCTCCAATTTCATTCCTCCAACCCCATCCCTCCCAACCCCATCCCTCCCAACCCCATCCCTCCCAACCCCATCCCTCCCAACCCCTCTCCACCAACCCCTCTCCACCAACCCCTCTCCACCAACCCCTCTCCACCAACCCCTCTCCTCCAACCCCTCTCCACCAACCCCTCTCCTCCAACCGTGCAGCGCCAGCTGGCGAATGGCGAGCGGACAGCTGTCGGCGTGGCGGAGGAGTATCTGGAGCGGCTGGAGGCGCAGGAGGGGCAGCTGAGAAGCTTCCTCCACACCGACAGGTAATTTCCCTGATAAGGTCAGAAAGCTTCCTTGTGACAGGTCTGTTCTGTAGGACAGTGGATTGGGATCACTGAGAAGCTGAGAGCCTTTTTTGAGACGTCTCAAAAGTTTCCCTGATAAGGTCAGAAATCTTCCTTGTGACAGGTCTGTTCTGTAGGACAGTGGATTGGGATCACTGAGAAGCTGAGGGCTTCACAGCTTCTCAGTGATCACTGAGAAGCTGTGAAAGGTCTGTTCTGTGTCAACTTGATTGATGGCAATGCAAGGCGACCAAGGTCAGCTCTTGAGTAAAACCAGAATATGCTGTACCATAAGGGGGCGCTAAACACTCTGAGGCCCTTGAACCACCTTCAATTCAATCCTAATCCTTGAACCCTGAACCCCTGACAAGGTAGGCAGACCAGTTTCTCTTGTGGTAGTTTCGGGTTCCCCACCTAACAGTAGGCAATTGCCGCTCACTGATGAGATTGTGAGACTCTGTGATACCTGTGAAGGACTTTCGCCCCCTTGACTCTTTCCACTCCACCTTTCTCCACTCCTCTCCACCCCTCTCCCAAATCGCAATCTCCTGCAGGGAGGCAGTCCTGCAGCAGGCACGGGAAGTGGATGCTGCCCTGGCATCTCAGTCGGGCAGCGGGGAGAAAAAATTGGGGCTGCTGACCGGAGTGCCCATGGGGGTGAAGGACAACCTGTGCACACGTGGCATGCCCTCCACCGCTGCCTCTAAGATCCTCAAGGTCTGCTGACGTGGCGGATGCTGATGTGCCAAGCGCTTGCAAGCGCTTGCAGGAAGACCCTCAACCCCCCAACGCTTGGTCATGTTGCTCCCACTTCCATCCTTCATTTTTTGCTAGTGTGCGAATCGAATCGCTTGTGTGTGTTTCTTCGTGTAACCGCTACACTACATCACACCACTGAAGGGCTACATGCCGCCGCCATACGATGCGACAGCAGTGGAGAGGTGAAGGCGGAGGGCACGGTGGTGGTGGGGTGGGGAGGACCATCAAGTGTGCATGTCTTGCTTGTTGTGTGTGTTTGTTGCATGTGCCGACTCAGCTTGTTGTGTGTGTTTGTTGCATGTGCCGACTCAGCTTGTTGTGTGTGTTTGTTGCATGTGCCGACTCAGCTTGTTGTGTGTGTTTGTTGCATGTGCCGACTCAGCTTGTTGTGTGTGTTTGTTCGTGTCCCCCACGTCACTCCACCACAGAGATACATGTCCGATGCAACAGCAGTGGGGAGGGTGCAGGCGGAGGGCGCGGTGGTGCTGGTGGGGAAGGCAAACTAGTATGCGCTTTTTTCTTCTCTGCATTTCTTGTGTGTGTGTTGCTCTCTGTATCCCCCCACCCATCCACCACACCGCAGGGATACATGCCGCCATACAATGCAACAGCGGTGGGGAGGGTGAAGGCGGAGGGGGCAGTGGTGGTGGGGAAGACGAACATGGACGAGTTTGGCATGGGCAGCACCACTGAGGGGTCGGGTTACCAGGTAACATATGTTTGTGTGTGTGCGCATGCACATGTGTGTCTGTCTGCGAGTGCATGTGTCGGCACCAACATGGACGAGTTTGGCATGGGCAGCACCACTGAGGGGTCGGGTTACCAGGTAACATATGTTTGTGTGTGTGCGCATGCACATGTGTGTCTGTCTGCGAGTGCATGTGTCGGCACCAACATGGACGAGTTTGGCATGGGCAGCACCACTGAGGGGTCGGGTTACCAGGTAACATATGTTTGTGTGTGTGCGCATGCACATGTGTGTCTGTCTGCGAGTGCATGTGTCGGCACCAACATGGACGAGTTTGGCATGGGCAGCACCACTGAGGGGTCGGGTTACCAGGTAACATATGTTTGTGTGTGTGCGCATGCACATGTGTGTCTGTCTGCGAGTGCATGTGTCGGCACCAACATGGACGAGTTTGGCATGGGCAGCACCACTGAGGGGTCGGGTTACCAGGTAACATATGTTTGTGTGTGTGCGCATGCACATGTGTGTCTGTCTGCGAGTGCATGTGTCGGCACCAACATGGACGAGTTTGGCATGGGCAGCACCACTGAGGGGTCGGGTTACCAGGTAACATATGTTTGTGTGTGTGCGCATGCACATGTGTGTCTGTCTGCGAGTGCATGTGTCGGCACCAACATGGACGAGTTTGGCATGGGCAGCACCACTGAGGGGTCGGGTTACCAGGTAACATATGTTTGTGTGTGTGCGCATGCACATGTGTGTCTGTCTGCGAGTGCATGTGTCGGCACCAACATGGACGAGTTTGGCATGGGCAGCACCACTGAGGGGTCGGGTTACCAGGTAACATATGTTTGTGTGTGTGCGCATGCACATGTGTGTCTGTCTGCGAGTGCATGTGTCGGCACCAACATGGACGAGTTTGGCATGGGCAGCACCACTGAGGGGTCGGGTTACCAGGTAACATATGTTTGTGTGTGTGCGCATGCACATGTGTGTCTGTCTGCGAGTGCATGTGTCGGCACCAACATGGACGAGTTTGGCATGGGCAGCACCACTGAGGGGTCGGGTTACCAGGTAACATATGTTTGTGTGTGTGCGCATGCACATGTGTGTCTGTCTGCGAGTGCATGTGTCGGCACCAACATGGACGAGTTTGGCATGGGCAGCACCACTGAGGGGTCGGGTTACCAGGTAACATATGTTTGTGTGTGTGCGCATGCACATGTGTGTCTGTCTGCGAGTGCATGTGTCGGCACCAACATGGACGAGTTTGGCATGGGCAGCACCACTGAGGGGTCGGGTTACCAGGTAACATATGTTTGTGTGTGTGCGCATGCACATGTGTGTCTGTCTGCGAGTGCATGTGTCGGCACCAACATGGACGAGTTTGGCATGGGCAGCACCACTGAGGGGTCGGGTTACCAGGTAACATATGTTTGTGTGTGTGCGCATGCACATGTGTGTCTGTCTGCGAGTGCATGTGTCGGCACCAACATGGACGAGTTTGGCATGGGCAGCACCACTGAGGGGTCGGGTTACCAGGTAACATATGTTTGTGTGTGTGCGCATGCACATGTGTGTCTGTCTGCGAGTGCATGTGTCGGCACCAACATGGACGAGTTTGGCATGGGCAGCACCACTGAGGGGTCGGGTTACCAGGTAACATATGTTTGTGTGTGTGCGCATGCACATGTGTGTCTGTCTGCGAGTGCATGTGTCGGCACCAACATGGACGAGTTTGGCATGGGCAGCACCACTGAGGGGTCGGGTTACCAGGTAACATATGTTTGTGTGTGTGCGCATGCACATGTGTGTCTGTCTGCGAGTGCATGTGTCGGCACCAACATGGACGAGTTTGGCATGGGCAGCACCACTGAGGGGTCGGGTTACCAGGTAACATATGTTTGTGTGTGTGCGCATGCACATGTGTGTCTGTCTGCGAGTGCATGTGTCGGCACCAACATGGACGAGTTTGGCATGGGCAGCACCACTGAGGGGTCGGGTTACCAGGTAACATATGTTTGTGTGTGTGCGCATGCACATGTGTGTCTGTCTGCGAGTGCATGTGTCGGCACCAACATGGACGAGTTTGGCATGGGCAGCACCACTGAGGGGTCGGGTTACCAGGTAACATATGTTTGTGTGTGTGCGCATGCACATGTGTGTCTGTCTGCGAGTGCATGTGTCGGCACCAACATGGACGAGTTTGGCATGGGCAGCACCACTGAGGGGTCGGGTTACCAGGTAACATATGTTTGTGTGTGTGCGCATGCACATGTGTGTCTGTCTGCGAGTGCATGTGTCGGCACCAACATGGACGAGTTTGGCATGGGCAGCACCACTGAGGGGTCGGGTTACCAGGTAACATATGTTTGTGTGTGTGCGCATGCACATGTGTGTCTGTCTGCGAGTGCATGTGTCGGCACCAACATGGACGAGTTTGGCATGGGCAGCACCACTGAGGGGTCGGGTTACCAGGTAACATATGTTTGTGTGTGTGCGCATGCACATGTGTGTCTGTCTGCGAGTGCATGTGTCGGCACCAACATGGACGAGTTTGGCATGGGCAGCACCACTGAGGGGTCGGGTTACCAGGTAACATATGTTTGTGTGTGTGCGCATGCACATGTGTGTCTGTCTGCGAGTGCATGTGTCGGCACCAACATGGACGAGTTTGGCATGGGCAGCACCACTGAGGGGTCGGGTTACCAGGTAACATATGTTTGTGTGTGTGCGCATGCACATGTGTGTCTGTCTGCGAGTGCATGTGTCGGCACCAACATGGACGAGTTTGGCATGGGCAGCACCACTGAGGGGTCGGGTTACCAGGTAACATATGTTTGTGTGTGTGCGCATGCACATGTGTGTCTGTCTGCGAGTGCATGTGTCGGCACCAACATGGACGAGTTTGGCATGGGCAGCACCACTGAGGGGTCGGGTTACCAGGTAACATATGTTTGTGTGTGTGCGCATGCACATGTGTGTCTGTCTGCGAGTGCATGTGTCGGCACCAACATGGACGAGTTTGGCATGGGCAGCACCACTGAGGGGTCGGGTTACCAGGTAACATATGTTTGTGTGTGTGCGCATGCACATGTGTGTCTGTCTGCGAGTGCATGTGTCGGCACCAACATGGACGAGTTTGGCATGGGCAGCACCACTGAGGGGTCGGGTTACCAGGTAACATATGTTTGTGTGTGTGCGCATGCACATGTGTGTCTGTCTGCGAGTGCATGTGTCGGCACCAACATGGACGAGTTTGGCATGGGCAGCACCACTGAGGGGTCGGGTTACCAGGTAACATATGTTTGTGTGTGTGCGCATGCACATGTGTGTCTGTCTGCGAGTGCATGTGTCGGCACCAACATGGACGAGTTTGGCATGGGCAGCACCACTGAGGGGTCGGGTTACCAGGTAACATATGTTTGTGTGTGTGCGCATGCACATGTGTGTCTGTCTGCGAGTGCATGTGTCGGCACCAACATGGACGAGTTTGGCATGGGCAGCACCACTGAGGGGTCGGGTTACCAGGTAACATATGTTTGTGTGTGTGCGCATGCACATGTGTGTCTGTCTGCGAGTGCATGTGTCGGCACCAACATGGACGAGTTTGGCATGGGCAGCACCACTGAGGGGTCGGGTTACCAGGTAACATATGTTTGTGTGTGTGCGCATGCACATGTGTGTCTGTCTGCGAGTGCATGTGTCGGCACCAACATGGACGAGTTTGGCATGGGCAGCACCACTGAGGGGTCGGGTTACCAGGTAACATATGTTTGTGTGTGTGCGCATGCACATGTGTGTCTGTCTGCGAGTGCATGTGTCGGCACCAACATGGACGAGTTTGGCATGGGCAGCGCCACTGAGGGGTCGGGTTACCAGGTAACATATGTTTGTGTGTGTGCGCATGCACATGTGTGTCTGTCTGCGAGTGCATGTGTCGGCACCAACATGGACGAGTTTGGCATGGGCAGCACCACTGAGGGGTCGGGTTACCAGGTAACATATGTTTGTGTGTGTGCGCATGCACATGTGTGTCTGTCTGCGAGTGCATGTGTCGGCACCAACATGGACGAGTTTGGCATGGGCAGCACCACTGAGGGGTCGGGTTACCAGGTAACATATGTTTGTGTGTGTGCGCATGCACATGTGTGTCTGTCTGCGAGTGCATGTGTCGGCACCAACATGGACGAGTTTGGCATGGGCAGCACCACTGAGGGGTCGGGTTACCAGGTAACATATGTTTGTGTGTGTGCGCATGCACATGTGTGTCTGTCTGCGAGTGCATGTGTCGGCACCAACATGGACGAGTTTGGCATGGGCAGCACCACTGAGGGGTCGGGTTACCAGGTAACATATGTTTGTGTGTGTGCGCATGCACATGTGTGTCTGTCTGCGAGTGCATGTGTCGGCACCAACATGGACGAGTTTGGCATGGGCAGCACCACTGAGGGGTCGGGTTACCAGGTAACATATGTTTGTGTGTGTGCGCATGCACATGTGTGTCTGTCTGCGAGTGCATGTGTCGGCACCAACATGGACGAGTTTGGCATGGGCAGCGCCACTGAGGGGTCGGGTTACCAGGTAACATATGTTTGTGTGTGTGCGCATGCACATGTGTGTCTGTCTGCGAGTGCATGTGTCGGCACCAACATGGACGAGTTTGGCATGGGCAGCACCACTGAGGGGTCGGGTTACCAGGTAACATATGTTTGTGTGTGTGCGCATGCACATGTGTGTCTGTCTGCGAGTGCATGTGTCGGCACCAACATGGACGAGTTTGGCATGGGCAGCACCACTGAGGGGTCGGGTTACCAGGTAACATATGTTTGTGTGTGTGCGCATGCACATGTGTGTCTGTCTGCGAGTGCATGTGTCGGCACCAACATGGACGAGTTTGGCATGGGCAGCACCACTGAGGGGTCGGGTTACCAGGTAACATATGTTTGTGTGTGTGCGCATGCACATGTGTGTCTGTCTGCGAGTGCATGTGTCGGCACCAACATGGACGAGTTTGGCATGGGCAGCACCACTGAGGGGTCGGGTTACCAGGTAACATATGTTTGTGTGTGTGCGCATGCACATGTGTGTCTGTCTGCGAGTGCATGTGTCGGCACCAACATGGACGAGTTTGGCATGGGCAGCACCACTGAGGGGTCGGGTTACCAGGTAACATATGTTTGTGTGTGTGCGCATGCACATGTGTGTCTGTCTGCGAGTGCATGTGTCGGCACCAACATGGACGAGTTTGGCATGGGCAGCACCACTGAGGGGTCGGGTTACCAGGTAACATATGTTTGTGTGTGTGCGCATGCACATGTGTGTCTGTCTGCGAGTGCATGTGTCGGCACCAACATGGACGAGTTTGGCATGGGCAGCACCACTGAGGGGTCGGGTTACCAGGTAACATATGTTTGTGTGTGTGCGCATGCACATGTGTGTCTGTCTGCGAGTGCATGTGTCGGCACCAACATGGACGAGTTTGGCATGGGCAGCACCACTGAGGGGTCGGGTTACCAGGTAACATATGTTTGTGTGTGTGCGCATGCACATGTGTGTCTGTCTGCGAGTGCATGTGTCGGCACCAACATGGACGAGTTTGGCATGGGCAGCACCACTGAGGGGTCGGGTTACCAGGTAACATATGTTTGTGTGTGTGCGCATGCACATGTGTGTCTGTCTGCGAGTGCATGTGTCGGCACCAACATGGACGAGTTTGGCATGGGCAGCACCACTGAGGGGTCGGGTTACCAGGTAACATATGTTTGTGTGTGTGCGCATGCACATGTGTGTCTGTCTGCGAGTGCATGTGTCGGCACCAACACGGACGAGTTTGGCATGGGCAGCACCACTGAGGGGTCGGGTTACCAGGTAACATATGTTTGTGTGTGTGCGCATGCACATGTGTGTCTGTCTGCGAGTGCATGTGTCGGCACCAACATGGACGAGTTTGGCATGGGCAGCACCACTGAGGGGTCGGGTTACCAGGTAACATATGTTTGTGTGTGTGCGCATGCACATGTGTGTCTGTCTGCGAGTGCATGTGTCGGCACCAACATGGACGAGTTTGGCATGGGCAGCACCACTGAGGGGTCGGGTTACCAGGTAACATATGTTTGTGTGTGTGCGCATGCACATGTGTGTCTGTCTGCGAGTGCATGTGTCGGCACCAACATGGACGAGTTTGGCATGGGCAGCACCACTGAGGGGTCGGGTTACCAGGTAACATATGTTTGTGTGTGTGCGCATGCACATGTGTGTCTGTCTGCGAGTGCATGTGTCGGCACCAACATGGACGAGTTTGGCATGGGCAGCACCACTGAGGGGTCGGGTTACCAGGTAACATATGTTTGTGTGTGTGCGCATGCACATGTGTGTCTGTCTGCGAGTGCATGTGTCGGCACCAACATGGACGAGTTTGGCATGGGCAGCACCACTGAGGGGTCGGGTTACCAGGTAACATATGTTTGTGTGTGTGCGCATGCACATGTGTGTCTGTCTGCGAGTGCATGTGTCGGCACCAACATGGACGAGTTTGGCATGGGCAGCACCACTGAGGGGTCGGGTTACCAGGTAACATATGTTTGTGTGTGTGCGCATGCACATGTGTGTCTGTCTGCGAGTGCATGTGTCGGCACCAACATGGACGAGTTTGGCATGGGCAGCACCACTGAGGGGTCGGGTTACCAGGTAACATATGTTTGTGTGTGTGCGCATGCACATGTGTGTCTGTCTGCGAGTGCATGTGTCGGCACCAACACGGACGAGTTTGGCATGGGCAGCACCACTGAGGGGTCGGGTTACCAGGTAACATATGTTTGTGTGTGTGCGCATGCACATGTGTGTCTGTCTGCGAGTGCATGTGTCGGCACCAACATGGACGAGTTTGGCATGGGCAGCACCACTGAGGGGTCGGGTTACCAGGTAACATATGTTTGTGTGTGTGCGCATGCACATGTGTGTCTGTCTGCGAGTGCATGTGTCGGCACCAACATGGACGAGTTTGGCATGGGCAGCACCACTGAGGGGTCGGGTTACCAGGTAACATATGTTTGTGTGTGTGCGCATGCACATGTGTGTCTGTCTGCGAGTGCATGTGTCGGCACCAACATGGACGAGTTTGGCATGGGCAGCACCACTGAGGGGTCGGGTTACCAGGTAACATATGTTTGTGTGTGTGCGCATGCACATGTGTGTCTGTCTGCGAGTGCATGTGTCGGCACCAACATGGACGAGTTTGGCATGGGCAGCACCACTGAGGGGTCGGGTTACCAGGTAACATATGTTTGTGTGTGTGCGCATGCACATGTGTGTCTGTCTGCGAGTGCATGTGTCGGCACCAACATGGACGAGTTTGGCATGGGCAGCACCACTGAGGGGTCGGGTTACCAGGTAACATATGTTTGTGTGTGTGCGCATGCACATGTGTGTCTGTCTGCGAGTGCATGTGTCGGCACCAACATGGACGAGTTTGGCATGGGCAGCACCACTGAGGGGTCGGGTTACCAGGTAACATATGTTTGTGTGTGTGCGCATGCACATGTGTGTCTGTCTGCGAGTGCATGTGTCGGCACCAACATGGACGAGTTTGGCATGGGCAGCACCACTGAGGGGTCGGGTTACCAGGTAACATATGTTTGTGTGTGTGCGCATGCACATGTGTGTCTGTCTGCGAGTGCATGTGTCGGCACCAACATGGACGAGTTTGGCATGGGCAGCACCACTGAGGGGTCGGGTTACCAGGTAACATATGTTTGTGTGTGTGCGCATGCACATGTGTGTCTGTCTGCGAGTGCATGTGTCGGCACCAACATGGACGAGTTTGGCATGGGCAGCACCACTGAGGGGTCGGGTTACCAGGTAACATATGTTTGTGTGTGTGCGCATGCACATGTGTGTCTGTCTGCGAGTGCATGTGTCGGCACCAACATGGACGAGTTTGGCATGGGCAGCACCACTGAGGGGTCGGGTTACCAGGTAACATATGTTTGTGTGTGTGCGCATGCACATGTGTGTCTGTCTGCGAGTGCATGTGTCGGCACCAACATGGACGAGTTTGGCATGGGCAGCACCACTGAGGGGTCGGGTTACCAGGTAACATATGTTTGTGTGTGTGCGCATGCACATGTGTGTCTGTCTGCGAGTGCATGTGTCGGCACCAACATGGACGAGTTTGGCATGGGCAGCACCACTGAGGGGTCGGGTTACCAGGTAACATATGTTTGTGTGTGTGCGCATGCACATGTGTGTCTGTCTGCGAGTGCATGTGTCGGCACCAACATGGACGAGTTTGGCATGGGCAGCACCACTGAGGGGTCGGGTTACCAGGTAACATATGTTTGTGTGTGTGCGCATGCACATGTGTGTCTGTCTGCGAGTGCATGTGTCGGCACCAACATGGACGAGTTTGGCATGGGCAGCACCACTGAGGGGTCGGGTTACCAGGTAACATATGTTTGTGTGTGTGCGCATGCACATGTGTGTCTGTCTGCGAGTGCATGTGTCGGCACCAACATGGACGAGTTTGGCATGGGCAGCACCACTGAGGGGTCGGGTTACCAGGTAACATATGTTTGTGTGTGTGCGCATGCACATGTGTGTCTGTCTGCGAGTGCATGTGTCGGCACCAACATGGACGAGTTTGGCATGGGCAGCACCACTGAGGGGTCGGGTTACCAGGTAACATATGTTTGTGTGTGTGCGCATGCACATGTGTGTCTGTCTGCGAGTGCATGTGTCGGCACCAACATGGACGAGTTTGGCATGGGCAGCACCACTGAGGGGTCGGGTTACCAGGTAACATATGTTTGTGTGTGTGCGCATGCACATGTGTGTCTGTCTGCGAGTGCATGTGTCGGCACCAACATGGACGAGTTTGGCATGGGCAGCACCACTGAGGGGTCGGGTTACCAGGTAACATATGTTTGTGTGTGTGCGCATGCACATGTGTGTCTGTCTGCGAGTGCATGTGTCGGCACCAACATGGACGAGTTTGGCATGGGCAGCACCACTGAGGGGTCGGGTTACCAGGTAACATATGTTTGTGTGTGTGCGCATGCACATGTGTGTCTGTCTGCGAGTGCATGTGTCGGCACCAACATGGACGAGTTTGGCATGGGCAGCACCACTGAGGGGTCGGGTTACCAGGTAACATATGTTTGTGTGTGTGCGCATGCACATGTGTGTCTGTCTGCGAGTGCATGTGTCGGCACCAACATGGACGAGTTTGGCATGGGCAGCACCACTGAGGGGTCGGGTTACCAGGTAACATATGTTTGTGTGTGTGCGCATGCACATGTGTGTCTGTCTGCGAGTGCATGTGTCGGCACCAACATGGACGAGTTTGGCATGGGCAGCACCACTGAGGGGTCGGGTTACCAGGTAACATATGTTTGTGTGTGTGCGCATGCACATGTGTGTCTGTCTGCGAGTGCATGTGTCGGCACCAACATGGACGAGTTTGGCATGGGCAGCACCACTGAGGGGTCGGGTTACCAGGTAACATATGTTTGTGTGTGTGCGCATGCACATGTGTGTCTGTCTGCGAGTGCATGTGTCGGCACCAACATGGACGAGTTTGGCATGGGCAGCACCACTGAGGGGTCGGGTTACCAGGTAACATATGTTTGTGTGTGTGCGCATGCACATGTGTGTCTGTCTGCGAGTGCATGTGTCGGCACCAACATGGACGAGTTTGGCATGGGCAGCACCACTGAGGGGTCGGGTTACCAGGTAACATATGTTTGTGTGTGTGCGCATGCACATGTGTGTCTGTCTGCGAGTGCATGTGTCGGCACCAACATGGACGAGTTTGGCATGGGCAGCACCACTGAGGGGTCGGGTTACCAGGTAACATATGTTTGTGTGTGTGCGCATGCACATGTGTGTCTGTCTGCGAGTGCATGTGTCGGCACCAACATGGACGAGTTTGGCATGGGCAGCACCACTGAGGGGTCGGGTTACCAGGTAACATATGTTTGTGTGTGTGCTCATGCACATGTGTGTCTGTCTGCGAGTGCATGTGTCGGCACCAACATGGACGAGTTTGGCATGGGCAGCACCACTGAGGGGTCGGGTTACCAGGTAACATATGTTTGTGTGTGTGCGCATGCACATGTGTGTCTGTCTGCGAGTGCATGTGTCGGCACCAACATGGACGAGTTTGGCATGGGCAGCACCACTGAGGGGTCGGGTTACCAGGTAACATATGTTTGTGTGTGTGCGCATGCACATGTGTGTCTGTCTGCGAGTGCATGTGTCGGCACCAACATGGACGAGTTTGGCATGGGCAGCACCACTGAGGGGTCGGGTTACCAGGTAACATATGTTTGTGTGTGTGCGCATGCACATGTGTGTCTGTCTGCGAGTGCATGTGTCGGCACCAACATGGACGAGTTTGGCATGGGCAGCACCACTGAGGGGTCGGGTTACCAGGTAACATATGTTTGTGTGTGTGCGCATGCACATGTGTGTCTGTCTGCGAGTGCATGTGTCGGCACCAACATGGACGAGTTTGGCATGGGCAGCACCACTGAGGGGTCGGGTTACCAGGTAACATATGTTTGTGTGTGTGCGCATGCACATGTGTGTCTGTCTGCGAGTGCATGTGTCGGCACCAACATGGACGAGTTTGGCATGGGCAGCACCACTGAGGGGTCGGGTTACCAGGTAACATATGTTTGTGTGTGTGCGCATGCACATGTGTGTCTGTCTGCGAGTGCATGTGTCGGCACCAACATGGACGAGTTTGGCATGGGCAGCACCACTGAGGGGTCGGGTTACCAGGTAACATATGTTTGTGTGTGTGCGCATGCACATGTGTGTCTGTCTGCGAGTGCATGTGTCGGCACCAACATGGACGAGTTTGGCATGGGCAGCACCACTGAGGGGTCGGGTTACCAGGTAACATATGTTTGTGTGTGTGCGCATGCACATGTGTGTCTGTCTGCGAGTGCATGTGTCGGCACCAACATGGACGAGTTTGGCATGGGCAGCACCACTGAGGGGTCGGGTTACCAGGTAACATATGTTTGTGTGTGTGCGCATGCACATGTGTGTCTGTCTGCGAGTGCATGTGTCGGCACCAACATGGACGAGTTTGGCATGGGCAGCACCACTGAGGGGTCGGGTTACCAGGTAACATATGTTTGTGTGTGTGCGCATGCACATGTGTGTCTGTCTGCGAGTGCATGTGTCGGCACCAACATGGACGAGTTTGGCATGGGCAGCACCACTGAGGGGTCGGGTTACCAGGTAACATATGTTTGTGTGTGTGCGCATGCACATGTGTGTCTGTCTGCGAGTGCATGTGTCGGCACCAACATGGACGAGTTTGGCATGGGCAGCACCACTGAGGGGTCGGGTTACCAGGTAACATATGTTTGTGTGTGTGCGCATGCACATGTGTGTCTGTCTGCGAGTGCATGTGTCGGCACCAACATGGACGAGTTTGGCATGGGCAGCACCACTGAGGGGTCGGGTTACCAGGTAACATATGTTTGTGTGTGTGCGCATGCACATGTGTGTCTGTCTGCGAGTGCATGTGTCGGCACCAACATGGACGAGTTTGGCATGGGCAGCACCACTGAGGGGTCGGGTTACCAGGTAACATATGTTTGTGTGTGTGCGCATGCACATGTGTGTCTGTCTGCGAGTGCATGTGTCGGCACCAACATGGACGAGTTTGGCATGGGCAGCACCACTGAGGGGTCGGGTTACCAGGTAACATATGTTTGTGTGTGTGCGCATGCACATGTGTGTCTGTCTGCGAGTGCATGTGTCGGCACCAACATGGACGAGTTTGGCATGGGCAGCACCACTGAGGGGTCGGGTTACCAGGTAACATATGTTTGTGTGTGTGCGCATGCACATGTGTGTCTGTCTGCGAGTGCATGTGTCGGCACCAACATGGACGAGTTTGGCATGGGCAGCACCACTGAGGGGTCGGGTTACCAGGTAACATATGTTTGTGTGTGTGCGCATGCACATGTGTGTCTGTCTGCGAGTGCATGTGTCGGCACCAACATGGACGAGTTTGGCATGGGCAGCACCACTGAGGGGTCGGGTTACCAGGTAACATATGTTTGTGTGTGTGCGCATGCACATGTGTGTCTGTCTGCGAGTGCATGTGTCGGCACCAACATGGACGAGTTTGGCATGGGCAGCACCACTGAGGGGTCGGGTTACCAGGTAACATATGTTTGTGTGTGTGCGCATGCACATGTGTGTCTGTCTGCGAGTGCATGTGTCGGCACCAACATGGACGAGTTTGGCATGGGCAGCACCACTGAGGGGTCGGGTTACCAGGTAACATATGTTTGTGTGTGTGCGCATGCACATGTGTGTCTGTCTGCGAGTGCATGTGTCGGCACCAACATGGACGAGTTTGGCATGGGCAGCACCACTGAGGGGTCGGGTTACCAGGTAACATATGTTTGTGTGTGTGCGCATGCACATGTGTGTCTGTCTGCGAGTGCATGTGTCGGCACCAACATGGACGAGTTTGGCATGGGCAGCACCACTGAGGGGTCGGGTTACCAGGTAACATATGTTTGTGTGTGTGCGCATGCACATGTGTGTCTGTCTGCGAGTGCATGTGTCGGCACCAACATGGACGAGTTTGGCATGGGCAGCACCACTGAGGGGTCGGGTTACCAGGTAACATATGTTTGTGTGTGTGCGCATGCACATGTGTGTCTGTCTGCGAGTGCATGTGTCGGCACCAACATGGACGAGTTTGGCATGGGCAGCACCACTGAGGGGTCGGGTTACCAGGTAACATATGTTTGTGTGTGTGCGCATGCACATGTGTGTCTGTCTGCGAGTGCATGTGTCGGCACCAACATGGACGAGTTTGGCATGGGCAGCACCACTGAGGGGTCGGGTTACCAGGTAACATATGTTTGTGTGTGTGCGCATGCACATGTGTGTCTGTCTGCGAGTGCATGTGTCGGCACCAACATGGACGAGTTTGGCATGGGCAGCACCACTGAGGGGTCGGGTTACCAGGTAACATATGTTTGTGTGTGTGCGCATGCACATGTGTGTCTGTCTGCGAGTGCATGTGTCGGCACCAACATGGACGAGTTTGGCATGGGCAGCACCACTGAGGGGTCGGGTTACCAGGTAACATATGTTTGTGTGTGTGCGCATGCACATGTGTGTCTGTCTGCGAGTGCATGTGTCGGCACCAACATGGACGAGTTTGGCATGGGCAGCACCACTGAGGGGTCGGGTTACCAGGTAACATATGTTTGTGTGTGTGCGCATGCACATGTGTGTCTGTCTGCGAGTGCATGTGTCGGCACCAACATGGACGAGTTTGGCATGGGCAGCACCACTGAGGGGTCGGGTTACCAGGTAACATATGTTTGTGTGTGTGCGCATGCACATGTGTGTCTGTCTGCGAGTGCATGTGTCGGCACCAACATGGACGAGTTTGGCATGGGCAGCACCACTGAGGGGTCGGGTTACCAGGTAACATATGTTTGTGTGTGTGCGCATGCACATGTGTGTCTGTCTGCGAGTGCATGTGTCGGCACCAACATGGACGAGTTTGGCATGGGCAGCACCACTGAGGGGTCGGGTTACCAGGTAACATATGTTTGTGTGTGTGCGCATGCACATGTGTGTCTGTCTGCGAGTGCATGTGTCGGCACCAACATGGACGAGTTTGGCATGGGCAGCACCACTGAGGGGTCGGGTTACCAGGTAACATATGTTTGTGTGTGTGCGCATGCACATGTGTGTCTGTCTGCGAGTGCATGTGTCGGCACCAACATGGACGAGTTTGGCATGGGCAGCACCACTGAGGGGTCGGGTTACCAGGTAACATATGTTTGTGTGTGTGCGCATGCACATGTGTGTCTGTCTGCGAGTGCATGTGTCGGCACCAACATGGACGAGTTTGGCATGGGCAGCGCCACTGAGGGGTCGGGTTACCAGGTAACATATGTTTGTGTGTGTGCGCATGCACATGTGTGTCTGTCTGCGAGTGCATGTGTCGGCACCAACATGGACGAGTTTGGCATGGGCAGCACCACTGAGGGGTCGGGTTACCAGGTAACATATGTTTGTGTGTGTGCGCATGCACATGTGTGTCTGTCTGCGAGTGCATGTGTCGGCACCAACATGGACGAGTTTGGCATGGGCAGCGCCACTGAGGGGTCGGGTTACCAGGTAACATATGTTTGTGTGTGTGCGCATGCACATGTGTGTCTGTCTGCGAGTGCATGTGTCGGCACCAACATGAACGAGTTTGGCATGGGCAGCACCACTGAGGGGTCGGGTTACCAGGTAACATATGTTTGTGTGTGTGCGCATGCACATGTGTGTCTGTCTGCGAGTGCATGTGTCGGCACCAACATGGACGAGTTTGGCATGGGCAGCACCACTGAGGGGTCGGGTTACCAGGTAACATATGTTTGTGTGTGTGCGCATGCACATGTGTGTCTGTCTGCGAGTGCATGTGTCGGCACCAACATGGACGAGTTTGGCATGGGCAGCACCACTGAGGGGTCGGGTTACCAGGTAACATATGTTTGTGTGTGTGCGCATGCACATGTGTGTCTGTCTGCGAGTGCATGTGTCGGCACCAACATGGACGAGTTTGGCATGGGCAGCGCCACTGAGGGGTCGGGTTACCAGGTAACATATGTTTGTGTGTGTGCGCATGCACATGTGTGTCTGTCTGCGAGTGCATGTGTCGGCACCAACATGGACGAGTTTGGCATGGGCAGCACCACTGAGGGGTCGGGTTACCAGGTAACATATGTTTGTGTGTGTGCGCATGCACATGTGTGTCTGTCTGCGAGTGCATGTGTCGGCACCAACATGGACGAGTTTGGCATGGGCAGCACCACTGAGGGGTCGGGTTACCAGGTAACATATGTTTGTGTGTGTGCGCATGCACATGTGTGTCTGTCTGCGAGTGCATGTGTCGGCACCAACATGGACGAGTTTGGCATGGGCAGCGCCACTGAGGGGTCGGGTTACCAGGTAACATATGTTTGTGTGTGTGCGCATGCACATGTGTGTCTGTCTGCGAGTGCATGTGTCGGCACCAACATGGACGAGTTTGGCATGGGCAGCACCACTGAGGGGTCGGGTTACCAGGTAACATATGTTTGTGTGTGTGCGCATGCACATGTGTGTCTGTCTGCGAGTGCATGTGTCGGCACCAACACTGGACGAGTTTGGCATGGGCAGCACCACTGAGGGGTCGGGTTACCAGGTAACGTATGTTTGTGTGTGTGCGCATGCACATGTGTGTCTGTCTGCGAGTGCATGTGTCGGCACCAACATGGACGAGTTTGGCATGGGCAGCACCACTGAGGGGTCGGGTTACCAGGTAACATATGTTTGTGTGTGTGCGCATGCACATGTGTGTCTGTCTGCGAGTGCATGTGTCGGCACCAACATGGACGAGTTTGGCATGGGCAGCACCACTGAGGGGTCGGGTTACCAGGTAACATATGTTTGTGTGTGTGCGCATGCACATGTGTGTCTGTCTGCGAGTGCATGTGTCGGCACCAACATGGACGAGTTTGGCATGGGCAGCACCACTGAGGGGTCGGGTTACCAGGTAACATATGTTTGTGTGTGTGCGCATGCACATGTGTGTCTGTCTGCGAGTGCATGTGTCGGCACCAACATGGACGAGTTTGGCATGGGCAGCGCCACTGAGGGGTCGGGTTACCAGGTAACATATGTTTGTGTGTGTGCGCATGCACATGTGTGTCTGTCTGCGAGTGCATGTGTCGGCACCAACATGGACGAGTTTGGCATGGGCAGCACCACTGAGGGGTCGGGTTACCAGGTAACATATGTTTGTGTGTGTGCGCATGCACATGTGTGTCTGTCTGCGAGTGCATGTGTCGGCACCAACATGGACGAGTTTGGCATGGGCAGCACCACTGAGGGGTCGGGTTACCAGGTAACATATGTTTGTGTGTGTGCGCATGCACATGTGTGTCTGTCTGCGAGTGCATGTGTCGGCACCAACATGGACGAGTTTGGCATGGGCAGCACCACTGAGGGGTCGGGTTACCAGGTAACATATGTTTGTGTGTGTGCGCATGCACATGTGTGTCTGTCTGCGAGTGCATGTGTCGGCACCAACATGGACGAGTTTGGCATGGGCAGCACCACTGAGGGGTCGGGTTACCAGGTAACATATGTTTGTGTGTGTGCGCATGCACATGTGTGTCTGTCTGCGAGTGCATGTGTCGGCACCAACATGGACGAGTTTGGCATGGGCAGCACCACTGAGGGGTCGGGTTACCAGGTAACATATGTTTGTGTGTGTGCGCATGCACATGTGTGTCTGTCTGCGAGTGCATGTGTCGGCACCAACATGGACGAGTTTGGCATGGGCAGCGCCACTGAGGGGTCGGGTTACCAGGTAACATATGTTTGTGTGTGTGCGCATGCACATGTGTGTCTGTCTGCGAGTGCATGTGTCGGCACCAACATGGACGAGTTTGGCATGGGCAGCACCACTGAGGGGTCGGGTTACCAGGTAACATATGTTTGTGTGTGTGCGCATGCACATGTGTGTCTGTCTGCGAGTGCATGTGTCGGCACCAACATGGACGAGTTTGGCATGGGCAGCACCACTGAGGGGTCGGGTTACCAGGTAACATATGTTTGTGTGTGTGCGCATGCACATGTGTGTCTGTCTGCGAGTGCATGTGTCGGCACCAACATGGACGAGTTTGGCATGGGCAGCGCCACTGAGGGGTCGGGTTACCAGGTAACATATGTTTGTGTGTGTGCGCATGCACATGTGTGTCTGTCTGCGAGTGCATGTGTCGGCACCAACATGGACGAGTTTGGCATGGGCAGCACCACTGAGGGGTCGGGTTACCAGGTAACATATGTTTGTGTGTGTGCGCATGCACATGTGTGTCTGTCTGCGAGTGCATGTGTCGGCACCAACATGGACGAGTTTGGCATGGGCAGCACCACTGAGGGGTCGGGTTACCAGGTAACATATGTTTGTGTGTGTGCGCATGCACATGTGTGTCTGTCTGCGAGTGCATGTGTCGGCACCAACATGGACGAGTTTGGCATGGGCAGCACCACTGAGGGGTCGGGTTACCAGGTAACATATGTTTGTGTGTGTGCGCATGCACATGTGTGTCTGTCTGCGAGTGCATGTGTCGGCACCAACATGGACGAGTTTGGCATGGGCAGCACCACTGAGGGGTCGGGTTACCAGGTAACATATGTTTGTGTGTGTGCGCATGCACATGTGTGTCTGTCTGCGAGTGCATGTGTCGGCACCAACATGGACGAGTTTGGCATGGGCAGCACCACTGAGGGGTCGGGTTACCAGGTAACATATGTTTGTGTGTGTGCGCATGCACATGTGTGTCTGTCTGCGAGTGCATGTGTCGGCACCAACATGGACGAGTTTGGCATGGGCAGCACCACTGAGGGGTCGGGTTACCAGGTAACATATGTTTGTGTGTGTGCGCATGCACATGTGTGTCTGTCTGCGAGTGCATGTGTCGGCACCAACATGGACGAGTTTGGCATGGGCAGCGCCACTGAGGGGTCGGGTTACCAGGTAACATATGTTTGTGTGTGTGCGCATGCACATGTGTGTCTGTCTGCGAGTGCATGTGTCGGCACCAACATGGACGAGTTTGGCATGGGCAGCACCACTGAGGGGTCGGGTTACCAGGTAACATATGTTTGTGTGTGTGCGCATGCACATGTGTGTCTGTCTGCGAGTGCATGTGTCGGCACCAACATGGACGAGTTTGGCATGGGCAGCACCACTGAGGGGTCGGGTTACCAGGTAACATATGTTTGTGTGTGTGCGCATGCACATGTGTGTCTGTCTGCGAGTGCATGTGTCGGCACCAACATGGACGAGTTTGGCATGGGCAGCGCCACTGAGGGGTCGGGTTACCAGGTAACATATGTTTGTGTGTGTGCGCATGCACATGTGTGTCTGTCTGCGAGTGCATGTGTCGGCACCAACATGGACGAGTTTGGCATGGGCAGCACCACTGAGGGGTCGGGTTACCAGGTAACATATGTTTGTGTGTGTGCGCATGCACATGTGTGTCTGTCTGCGAGTGCATGTGTCGGCACCAACACGGACGAGTTTGGCATGGGCAGCACCACTGAGGGGTCGGGTTACCAGGTAACATATGTTTGTGTGTGTGCGCATGCACATGTGTGTCTGTCTGCGAGTGCATGTGTCGGCACCAACATGGACGAGTTTGGCATGGGCAGCACCACTGAGGGGTCGGGTTACCAGGTAACATATGTTTGTGTGTGTGCGCATGCACATGTGTGTCTGTCTGCGAGTGCATGTGTCGGCACCAACATGGACGAGTTTGGCATGGGCAGCACCACTGAGGGGTCGGGTTACCAGGTAACATATGTTTGTGTGTGTGCGCATGCACATGTGTGTCTGTCTGCGAGTGCATGTGTCGGCACCAACATGGACGAGTTTGGCATGGGCAGCACCACTGAGGGGTCGGGTTACCAGGTAACATATGTTTGTGTGTGTGCGCATGCACATGTGTGTCTGTCTGCGAGTGCATGTGTCGGCACCAACATGGACGAGTTTGGCATGGGCAGCACCACTGAGGGGTCGGGTTACCAGGTAACATATGTTTGTGTGTGTGCGCATGCACATGTGTGTCTGTCTGCGAGTGCATGTGTCGGCACCAACATGGACGAGTTTGGCATGGGCAGCACCACTGAGGGGTCGGGTTACCAGGTAACATATGTTTGTGTGTGTGCGCATGCACATGTGTGTCTGTCTGCGAGTGCATGTGTCGGCACCAACATGGACGAGTTTGGCATGGGCAGCACCACTGAGGGGTCGGGTTACCAGGTAACATATGTTTGTGTGTGTGCGCATGCACATGTGTGTCTGTCTGCGAGTGCATGTGTCGGCACCAACATTGACGAGTTTGGCATGGGCAGCACCACTGAGGGGTCGGGTTACCAGGTAACATATGTTTGTGTGTGTGCGCATGCACATGTGTGTCTGTCTGCGAGTGCATGTGTCGGCACCAACATGGACGAGTTTGGCATGGGCAGCACCACTGAGGGGTCGGGTTACCAGGTAACATATGTTTGTGTGTGTGCGCATGCACATGTGTGTCTGTCTGCGAGTGCATGTGTCGGCACCAACATGGACGAGTTTGGCATGGGCAGCGCCACTGAGGGGTCGGGTTACCAGGTAACATATGTTTGTGTGTGTGCGCATGCACATGTGTGTCTGTCTGCGAGTGCATGTGTCGGCACCAACATGGACGAGTTTGGCATGGGCAGCACCACTGAGGGGTCGGGTTACCAGGTAACATATGTTTGTGTGTGTGCGCATGCACATGTGTGTCTGTCTGCGAGTGCATGTGTCGGCACCAACATGGACGAGTTTGGCATGGGCAGCACCACTGAGGGGTCGGGTTACCAGGTAACATATGTTTGTGTGTGTGCGCATGCACATGTGTGTCTGTCTGCGAGTGCATGTGTCGGCACCAACATGGACGAGTTTGGCATGGGCAGCACCACTGAGGGGTCGGGTTACCAGGTAACATATGTTTGTGTGTGTGCGCATGCACATGTGTGTCTGTCTGCGAGTGCATGTGTCGGCACCAACATGGACGAGTTTGGCATGGGCAGCACCACTGAGGGGTCGGGTTACCAGGTAACATATGTTTGTGTGTGTGCGCATGCACATGTGTGTCTGTCTGCGAGTGCATGTGTCGGCACCAACATGGACGAGTTTGGCATGGGCAGCACCACTGAGGGGTCGGGTTACCAGGTAACATATGTTTGTGTGTGTGCGCATGCACATGTGTGTCTGTCTGCGAGTGCATGTGTCGGCACCAACATGGACGAGTTTGGCATGGGCAGCACCACTGAGGGGTCGGGTTACCAGGTAACATATGTTTGTGTGTGTGCGCATGCACATGTGTGTCTGTCTGCGAGTGCATGTGTCGGCACCAACATGGACGAGTTTGGCATGGGCAGCACCACTGAGGGGTCGGGTTACCAGGTAACATATGTTTGTGTGTGTGCGCATGCACATGTGTGTCTGTCTGCGAGTGCATGTGTCGGCACCAACATGGACGAGTTTGGCATGGGCAGCACCACTGAGGGGTCGGGTTACCAGGTAACATATGTTTGTGTGTGTGCGCATGCACATGTGTGTCTGTCTGCGAGTGCATGTGTCGGCACCAACATGGACGAGTTTGGCATGGGCAGCACCACTGAGGGGTCGGGTTACCAGGTAACATATGTTTGTGTGTGTGCGCATGCACATGTGTGTCTGTCTGCGAGTGCATGTGTCGGCACCAACATGGACGAGTTTGGCATGGGCAGCACCACTGAGGGGTCGGGTTACCAGGTAACATATGTTTGTGTGTGTGCGCATGCACATGTGTGTCTGTCTGCGAGTGCATGTGTCGGCACCAACATGGACGAGTTTGGCATGGGCAGCACCACTGAGGGGTCGGGTTACCAGGTAACATATGTTTGTGTGTGTGCGCATGCACATGTGTGTCTGTCTGCGAGTGCATGTGTCGGCACCAACATGGACGAGTTTGGCATGGGCAGCACCACTGAGGGGTCGGGTTACCAGGTAACATATGTTTGTGTGTGTGCGCATGCACATGTGTGTCTGTCTGCGAGTGCATGTGTCGGCACCAACATGGACGAGTTTGGCATGGGCAGCACCACTGAGGGGTCGGGTTACCAGGTAACATATGTTTGTGTGTGTGCGCATGCACATGTGTGTCTGTCTGCGAGTGCATGTGTCGGCACCAACATGGACGAGTTTGGCATGGGCAGCACCACTGAGGGGTCGGGTTACCAGGTAACATATGTTTGTGTGTGTGCGCATGCACATGTGTGTCTGTCTGCGAGTGCATGTGTCGGCACCAACATGGACGAGTTTGGCATGGGCAGCGCCACTGAGGGGTCGGGTTACCAGGTAACATATGTTTGTGTGTGTGCGCATGCACATGTGTGTCTGTCTGCGAGTGCATGTGTCGGCACCAACATGGACGAGTTTGGCATGGGCAGCACCACTGAGGGGTCGGGTTACCAGGTAACATATGTTTGTGTGTGTGCGCATGCACATGTGTGTCTGTCTGCGAGTGCATGTGTCGGCACCAACATGGACGAGTTTGGCATGGGCAGCACCACTGAGGGGTCGGGTTACCAGGTAACATATGTTTGTGTGTGTGCGCATGCACATGTGTGTCTGTCTGCGAGTGCATGTGTCGGCACCAACATGGACGAGTTTGGCATGGGCAGCACCACTGAGGGGTCGGGTTACCAGGTAACATATGTTTGTGTGTGTGCGCATGCACATGTGTGTCTGTCTGCGAGTGCATGTGTCGGCACCAACATGGACGAGTTTGGCATGGGCAGCACCACTGAGGGGTCGGGTTACCAGGTAACATATGTTTGTGTGTGTGCGCATGCACATGTGTGTCTGTCTGCGAGTGCATGTGTCGGCACCAACATGGACGAGTTTGGCATGGGCAGCACCACTGAGGGGTCGGGTTACCAGGTAACATATGTTTGTGTGTGTGCGCATGCACATGTGTGTCTGTCTGCGAGTGCATGTGTCGGCACCAACATGGACGAGTTTGGCATGGGCAGCACCACTGAGGGGTCGGGTTACCAGGTAACATATGTTTGTGTGTGTGCGCATGCACATGTGTGTCTGTCTGCGAGTGCATGTGTCGGCACCAACATGGACGAGTTTGGCATGGGCAGCACCACTGAGGGGTCGGGTTACCAGGTAACATATGTTTGTGTGTGTGCGCATGCACATGTGTGTCTGTCTGCGAGTGCATGTGTCGGCACCAACATGGACGAGTTTGGCATGGGCAGCACCACTGAGGGGTCGGGTTACCAGGTAACATGTGTTTGTGTGTGTGCGCATGCACATGTGTGTCTGTCTGCGAGTGCATGTGTCGGCACCAACATGGACGAGTTTGGCATGGGCAGCGCCACTGAGGGGTCGGGTTACCAGGTAACATATGTTTGTGTGTGTGCGCATGCACATATGTGTCTGTCTGCGAGTGCATGTGTCGGCACCAACATGGACGAGTTTGGCATGGGCAGCACCACTGAGGGGTCGGGTTACCAGGTAACATATGTTTGTGTGTGTGCGCATGCACATGTGTGTCTGTCTGCGAGTGCATGTGTCGGCACCAACATGGACGAGTTTGGCATGGGCAGCACCACTGAGGGGTCGGGTTACCAGGTAACATATGTTTGTGTGTGTGCGCATGCACATGTGTGTCTGTCTGCGAGTGCATGTGTCGGCACCAACATGGACGAGTTTGGCATGGGCAGCGCCACTGAGGGGTCGGGTTACCAGGTAACATATGTTTGTGTGTGTGCGCATGCACATGTGTGTCTGTCTGCGAGTGCATGTGTCGGCACCAACATGGACGAGTTTGGCATGGGCAGCACCACTGAGGGGTCGGGTTACCAGGTAACATATGTTTGTGTGTGTGCGCATGCACATGTGTGTCTGTCTGCGAGTGCATGTGTCGGCACCAACATGGACGAGTTTGGCATGGGCAGCACCACTGAGGGGTCGGGTTACCAGGTAACATATGTTTGTGTGTGTGCGCATGCACATGTGTGTCTGTCTGCGAGTGCATGTGTCGGCACCAACATGGACGAGTTTGGCATGGGCAGCACCACTGAGGGGTCGGGTTACCAGGTAACATATGTTTGTGTGTGTGCGCATGCACATGTGTGTCTGTCTGCGAGTGCATGTGTCGGCACCAACATGGACGAGTTTGGCATGGGCAGCACCACTGAGGGGTCGGGTTACCAGGTAACATATGTTTGTGTGTGTGCGCATGCACATGTGTGTCTGTCTGCGAGTGCATGTGTCGGCACCAACATGGACGAGTTTGGCATGGGCAGCACCACTGAGGGGTCGGGTTACCAGGTAACATATGTTTGTGTGTGTGCGCATGCACATGTGTGTCTGTCTGCGAGTGCATGTGTCGGCACCAACATGGACGAGTTTGGCATGGGCAGCACCACTGAGGGGTCGGGTTACCAGGTAACATATGTTTGTGTGTGTGCGCATGCACATGTGTGTCTGTCTGCGAGTGCATGTGTCGGCACCAACATGGACGAGTTTGGCATGGGCAGCACCACTGAGGGGTCGGGTTACCAGGTAACATATGTTTGTGTGTGTGCGCATGCACATGTGTGTCTGTCTGCGAGTGCATGTGTCGGCACCAACATGGACGAGTTTGGCATGGGCAGCACCACTGAGGGGTCGGGTTACCAGGTAACATATGTTTGTGTGTGTGCGCATGCACATGTGTGTCTGTCTGCGAGTGCATGTGTCGGCACCAACATGGACGAGTTTGGCATGGGCAGCACCACTGAGGGGTCGGGTTACCAGGTAACATATGTTTGTGTGTGTGCGCATGCACATGTGTGTCTGTCTGCGAGTGCATGTGTCGGCACCAACATGGACGAGTTTGGCATGGGCAGCACCACTGAGGGGTCGGGTTACCAGGTAACATATGTTTGTGTGTGTGCGCATGCACATGTGTGTCTGTCTGCGAGTGCATGTGTCGGCACCAACATGGACGAGTTTGGCATGGGCAGCACCACTGAGGGGTCGGGTTACCAGGTAACATATGTTTGTGTGTGTGCGCATGCACATGTGTGTCTGTCTGCGAGTGCATGTGTCGGCACCAACATGGACGAGTTTGGCATGGGCAGCACCACTGAGGGGTCGGGTTACCAGGTAACATATGTTTGTGTGTGTGCGCATGCACATGTGTGTCTGTCTGCGAGTGCATGTGTCGGCACCAACATGGACGAGTTTGGCATGGGCAGCACCACTGAGGGGTCGGGTTACCAGGTAACATATGTTTGTGTGTGTGCGCATGCACATGTGTGTCTGTCTGCGAGTGCATGTGTCGGCACCAACATGGACGAGTTTGGCATGGGCAGCACCACTGAGGGGTCGGGTTACCAGGTAACATATGTTTGTGTGTGTGCGCATGCACATGTGTGTCTGTCTGCGAGTGCATGTGTCGGCACCAACATGGACGAGTTTGGCATGGGCAGCACCACTGAGGGGTCGGGTTACCAGGTAACATATGTTTGTGTGTGTGCGCATGCACATGTGTGTCTGTCTGCGAGTGCATGTGTCGGCACCAACATGGACGAGTTTGGCATGGGCAGCACCACTGAGGGGTCGGGTTACCAGGTAACATATGTTTGTGTGTGTGCGCATGCACATGTGTGTCTGTCTGCGAGTGCATGTGTCGGCACCAACATGGACGAGTTTGGCATGGGCAGCACCACTGAGGGGTCGGGTTACCAGGTAACATATGTTTGTGTGTGTGCGCATGCACATGTGTGTCTGTCTGCGAGTGCATGTGTCGGCACCAACATGGACGAGTTTGGCATGGGCAGCGCCACTGAGGGGTCGGGTTACCAGGTAACATATGTTTGTGTGTGTGCGCATGCACATGTGTGTCTGTCTGCGAGTGCATGTGTCGGCACCAACATGGACGAGTTTGGCATGGGCAGCACCACTGAGGGGTCGGGTTACCAGGTAACATATGTTTGTGTGTGTGCGCATGCACATGTGTGTCTGTCTGCGAGTGCATGTGTCGGCACCAACATGGACGAGTTTGGCATGGGCAGCACCACTGAGGGGTCGGGTTACCAGGTAACATATGTTTGTGTGTGTGCGCATGCACATGTGTGTCTGTCTGCGAGTGCATGTGTCGGCACCAACATGGACGAGTTTGGCATGGGCAGCGCCACTGAGGGGTCGGGTTACCAGGTAACATATGTTTGTGTGTGTGCGCATGCACATGTGTGTCTGTCTGCGAGTGCATGTGTCGGCACCAACATGGACGAGTTTGGCATGGGCAGCACCACTGAGGGGTCGGGTTACCAGGTAACATATGTTTGTGTGTGTGCGCATGCACATGTGTGTCTGTCTGCGAGTGCATGTGTCGGCACCAACATGGACGAGTTTGGCATGGGCAGCACCACTGAGGGGTCGGGTTACCAGGTAACATATGTTTGTGTGTGTGCGCATGCACATGTGTGTCTGTCTGCGAGTGCATGTGTCGGCACCAACATGGACGAGTTTGGCATGGGCAGCACCACTGAGGGGTCGGGTTACCAGGTAACATATGTTTGTGTGTGTGCGCATGCACATGTGTGTCTGTCTGCGAGTGCATGTGTCGGCACCAACATGGACGAGTTTGGCATGGGCAGCACCACTGAGGGGTCGGGTTACCAGGTAACATATGTTTGTGTGTGTGCGCATGCACATGTGTGTCTGTCTGCGAGTGCATGTGTCGGCACCAACATGGACGAGTTTGGCATGGGCAGCACCACTGAGGGGTCGGGTTACCAGGTAACATATGTTTGTGTGTGTGCGCATGCACATGTGTGTCTGTCTGCGAGTGCATGTGTCGGCACCAACATGGACGAGTTTGGCATGGGCAGCGCCACTGAGGGGTCGGGTTACCAGGTAACATATGTTTGTGTGTGTGCGCATGCACATGTGTGTCTGTCTGCGAGTGCATGTGTCGGCACCAACATGGACGAGTTTGGCATGGGCAGCACCACTGAGGGGTCGGGTTACCAGGTAACATATGTTTGTGTGTGTGCGCATGCACATGTGTGTCTGTCTGCGAGTGCATGTGTCGGCACCAACATGGACGAGTTTGGCATGGGCAGCACCACTGAGGGGTCGGGTTACCAGGTAACATATGTTTGTGTGTGTGCGCATGCACATGTGTGTCTGTCTGCGAGTGCATGTGTCGGCACCAACATGGACGAGTTTGGCATGGGCAGCGCCACTGAGGGGTCGGGTTACCAGGTAACATATGTTTGTGTGTGTGCGCATGCACATGTGTGTCTGTCTGCGAGTGCATGTGTCGGCACCAACATGGACGAGTTTGGCATGGGCAGCACCACTGAGGGGTCGGGTTACCAGGTAACATATGTTTGTGTGTGTGCGCATGCACATGTGTGTCTGTCTGCGAGTGCATGTGTCGGCACCAACATGGACGAGTTTGGCATGGGCAGCACCACTGAGGGGTCGGGTTACCAGGTAACATATGTTTGTGTGTGTGCGCATGCACATGTGTGTCTGTCTGCGAGTGCATGTGTCGGCACCAACATGGACGAGTTTGGCATGGGCAGCACCACTGAGGGGTCGGGTTACCAGGTAACATATGTTTGTGTGTGTGCGCATGCACATGTGTGTCTGTCTGCGAGTGCATGTGTCGGCACCAACATGGACGAGTTTGGCATGGGCAGCACCACTGAGGGGTCGGGTTACCAGGTAACATATGTTTGTGTGTGTGCGCATGCACATGTGTGTCTGTCTGCGAGTGCATGTGTCGGCACCAACATGGACGAGTTTGGCATGGGCAGCACCACTGAGGGGTCGGGTTACCAGGTAACATATGTTTGTGTGTGTGCGCATGCACATGTGTGTCTGTCTGCGAGTGCATGTGTCGGCACCAACATGGACGAGTTTGGCATGGGCAGCACCACTGAGGGGTCGGGTTACCAGGTAACATATGTTTGTGTGTGTGCGCATGCACATGTGTGTCTGTCTGCGAGTGCATGTGTCGGCACCAACATGGACGAGTTTGGCATGGGCAGCACCACTGAGGGGTCGGGTTACCAGGTAACATATGTTTGTGTGTGTGCGCATGCACATGTGTGTCTGTCTGCGAGTGCATGTGTCGGCACCAACATGGACGAGTTTGGCATGGGCAGCACCACTGAGGGGTCGGGTTACCAGGTAACATATGTTTGTGTGTGTGCGCATGCACATGTGTGTCTGTCTGCGAGTGCATGTGTCGGCACCAACATGGACGAGTTTGGCATGGGCAGCACCACTGAGGGGTCGGGTTACCAGGTAACATATGTTTGTGTGTGTGCGCATGCACATGTGTGTCTGTCTGCGAGTGCATGTGTCGGCACCAACATGGACGAGTTTGGCATGGGCAGCGCCACTGAGGGGTCGGGTTACCAGGTAACATATGTTTGTGTGTGTGCGCATGCACATGTGTGTCTGTCTGCGAGTGCATGTGTCGGCACCAACATGGACGAGTTTGGCATGGGCAGCACCACTGAGGGGTCGGGTTACCAGGTAACATATGTTTGTGTGTGTGCGCATGCACATGTGTGTCTGTCTGCGAGTGCATGTGTCGGCACCAACATGGACGAGTTTGGCATGGGCAGCACCACTGAGGGGTCGGGTTACCAGGTAACATATGTTTGTGTGTGTGCGCATGCACATGTGTGTCTGTCTGCGAGTGCATGTGTCGGCACCAACATGGACGAGTTTGGCATGGGCAGCACCACTGAGGGGTCGGGTTACCAGGTAACATATGTTTGTGTGTGTGCGCATGCACATGTGTGTCTGTCTGCGAGTGCATGTGTCGGCACCAACATGGACGAGTTTGGCATGGGCAGCACCACTGAGGGGTCGGGTTACCAGGTAACATATGTTTGTGTGTGTGCGCATGCACATGTGTGTCTGTCTGCGAGTGCATGTGTCGGCACCAACATGGACGAGTTTGGCATGGGCAGCACCACTGAGGGGTCGGGTTACCAGGTAACATATGTTTGTGTGTGTGCGCATGCACATGTGTGTCTGTCTGCGAGTGCATGTGTCGGCACCAACATGGACGAGTTTGGCATGGGCAGCACCACTGAGGGGTCGGGTTACCAGGTAACATATGTTTGTGTGTGTGCGCATGCACATGTGTGTCTGTCTGCGAGTGCATGTGTCGGCACCAACATGGACGAGTTTGGCATGGGCAGCACCACTGAGGGGTCGGGTTACCAGGTAACATATGTTTGTGTGTGTGCGCATGCACATGTGTGTCTGTCTGCGAGTGCATGTGTCGGCACCAACATGGACGAGTTTGGCATGGGCAGCACCACTGAGGGGTCGGGTTACCAGGTAACATATGTTTGTGTGTGTGCGCATGCACATGTGTGTCTGTCTGCGAGTGCATGTGTCGGCACCAACATGGACGAGTTTGGCATGGGCAGCACCACTGAGGGGTCGGGTTACCAGGTAACATATGTTTGTGTGTGTGCGCATGCACATGTGTGTCTGTCTGCGAGTGCATGTGTCGGCACCAACATGGACGAGTTTGGCATGGGCAGCACCACTGAGGGGTCGGGTTACCAGGTAACATATGTTTGTGTGTGTGCGCATGCACATGTGTGTCTGTCTGCGAGTGCATGTGTCGGCACCAACATGGACGAGTTTGGCATGGGCAGCACCACTGAGGGGTCGGGTTACCAGGTAACATATGTTTGTGTGTGTGCGCATGCACATGTGTGTCTGTCTGCGAGTGCATGTGTCGGCACCAACATGGACGAGTTTGGCATGGGCAGCACCACTGAGGGGTCGGGTTACCAGGTAACATATGTTTGTGTGTGTGCGCATGCACATGTGTGTCTGTCTGCGAGTGCATGTGTCGGCACCAACATGGACGAGTTTGGCATGGGCAGCACCACTGAGGGGTCGGGTTACCAGGTAACATATGTTTGTGTGTGTGCGCATGCACATGTGTGTCTGTCTGCGAGTGCATGTGTCGGCACCAACATGGACGAGTTTGGCATGGGCAGCACCACTGAGGGGTCGGGTTACCAGGTAACATATGTTTGTGTGTGTGCGCATGCACATGTGTGTCTGTCTGCGAGTGCATGTGTCGGCACCAACATGGACGAGTTTGGCATGGGCAGCACCACTGAGGGGTCGGGTTACCAGGTAACATATGTTTGTGTGTGTGCGCATGCACATGTGTGTCTGTCTGCGAGTGCATGTGTCGGCACCAACATGGACGAGTTTGGCATGGGCAGCACCACTGAGGGGTCGGGTTACCAGGTAACATATGTTTGTGTGTGTGCGCATGCACATGTGTGTCTGTCTGCGAGTGCATGTGTCGGCACCAACATGGACGAGTTTGGCATGGGCAGCACCACTGAGGGGTCGGGTTACCAGGTAACATATGTTTGTGTGTGTGCGCATGCACATGTGTGTCTGTCTGCGAGTGCATGTGTCGGCACCAACATGGACGAGTTTGGCATGGGCAGCACCACTGAGGGGTCGGGTTACCAGGTAACATATGTTTGTGTGTGTGCGCATGCACATGTGTGTCTGTCTGCGAGTGCATGTGTCGGCACCAACATGGACGAGTTTGGCATGGGCAGCACCACTGAGGGGTCGGGTTACCAGGTAACATATGTTTGTGTGTGTGCGCATGCACATGTGTGTCTGTCTGCGAGTGCATGTGTCGGCACCAACATGGACGAGTTTGGCATGGGCAGCACCACTGAGGGGTCGGGTTACCAGGTAACGTGCGTCTATGCATAAGTGCATGTTTGCATGTATGCATGTATGCATGAGTGCATGTGTTTTGTCATCCTGTCATTGTGTCGCAGTTTGTATACTTCCAGTTATCAATTGGCAGTTGATTGATACCTCCTTGGGGAAGGAGGGGAAGCGTTGTGTGAGACTTCCCTTCCTTCCCCGACGCTTCCTCACACAATCTCTCCACCCCTTGGGGAGGGAGGGGAAGGCTGGCCCTAATCTCTCCACTCTTTTCGCCTCTCTCTCTCTCCCTCTCCCCAACTCCCCTCTAGGTGACAGCCAACCCCTGGGATCTCTCGCGAGTGCCAGGCGGCAGTTCAGGAGGCTCTGCCGCTGCTGTGGCGGCTGGGCAGTGTGCTGTAGCTTTGGGCTCTGACACGGGTGAGTGAGGGAAGGGGTGTTGGTGGTGGCGGGTGAGGGGGGAAACCCAAGGGAGTTGGCTCAGGCTGTTGCATCTGCTGCTCCTGCTGTGAGGGGCAGGGCGCCTCCTCCAGCGGTGGAGGTGCGCACTGCACTGCACTGCACGGCGCACTGCTCATCTGCATCTGCTGCTCCTGCTGTGGCGGCCGGGCAGCCGTGGATCTGGGCCCTGATACAGGTGAGCGGAGGGATAAGAAGGTGGGAGGCGTGTGATTATATATTGTGTCGTGTGATGTAGGCGTGAGCACTACCGCTGTGTCTCCCGCCAGGGTCTCATGGCCTATGCGTCTAGCCTCGACTGCGTGGGCGTGCTTGGTCTCGTGACGTGTATGCCAATGCCGCCACACCCCTACCCACCTCCACCCTACCCCACCGTATCCCGCATCCTTGCTCTCTCCCAGGGGGCAGCGTGCGTCTCCCTGCATCATTCTGCGGCATAGTTGGCTTAAAGCCCTCTTACGGCCGTGTTTCCCGCCTGGGTCTCATGGCGTATGAGTCTAGCCTGGACTGCGTGGGCGTGCTTGGTCTCATGGGGTGCGTGCCACTGCCACCACACCCTGCACACCCCAACCCATCCCCACCCACCCCTCTCCACCCCCCCCCTCATGTGTGCTCTCTTTCTCTCGCTCTCTCCCAGGGGGCAGTGTGCGCCTGCCAGCTTCATTCTGCGGGATAGTTGGCTTAAAGCCCTCGTACGGCCGGGTCTCCCGCCTGGGCCTCATGGCGTATGCGTCCAGCCTGGACTGCGTGGGCGTGCTTGGGCTCATGGGGTGTATGCCACACACACCCCTACCCATACCCCACCCCACCCCAACCCCTCCCTCATTCGCACCCTCTCCCACGTGGCAGCGTCCTTCTGTGGCATAGTGGGTCTGAAGCCCTCCTATGGCAGTGTCTCCCGGCTGGGCTTCATGGTGTATGCATCCAATCTCCCGTCCATGTAAAACCCTCATTCCCCCACCCCCTCAACCCCATACTCCCAGGTGGCAGCGTGCGTCTGCCAGCGTCCTTCTGTGGCATAGTGGGTCTGAAGCCCGAGTGTCGCGCCTGGGGCTCATGGCGTATGCGTTCAGCCTGGACTGTGTGGGCGTGCTGGGGCGATCAGTAGAGGACACAGCCATTGTGCTGCAGGCGATGGCGGGGAGAGACGACGGGGACAGCACGTGCAGCAAGGAGGTGAGTGAGTGGTGGGTAGAGGGTGGTTAAGTGCAGCAAGGAGGTGAGTGAGTGGTGGGTAGAGGGTGGTTAAGTGCAGCAAGGAGGTGAGTGAGTGGTGGGTAGAGGGTGGTTAAGTGCAGAAAGGAGGTGAGTGAGTGGTGGGTAGAGGGTGGTTAAGTGCAGCAAGGAGGTGAGTGAGTGGTGGGTAGAGGGTGGTTAAGTGCAGCAAGGAGGTGAGTGAGTGGTGGGTAGAGGGTGGTTAAGTGCAGCAAGGAGGTGAGTGAGTGGTGGGTAGAGGGTGGTTAAGTGCAGCAAGGAGGTGAGTGAGTGGTGGGTAGAGGGTGGTTAAGTGCAGCAAGGAGGTGAGTGAGTGGTGGGTAGAGGGTGGTTAAGTGCAGCAAGGAGGTGAGTGAGTGGTGGGTAGAGGGTGGTTAAGTGCAGCAAGGACATCAAGTGCTCTGAAGCCCTCTTGCCTGGACTGTGTGGGCGTGCCGGGTCGATTGGTGGAAGACACAGCGATCGTGCTGCAGGCGATGGCTGGGAGAGACGACGGGGACAGCACGTGCAGCAAGGAGGTGAGAAGTGGAGGTTTGTGGCACCTTGGGGCGATTTTATTCACGGCTCATGCATATGTCTTCAGGCCAGCGCGATGTGGAGAGAAGTGGGGTGCTTACACTGGGCTGGGCCCCAGCCCAGCAGTCGCCCTGGCCAGGACTGTGTGGGTGGGCGTGCTGCACTGGGCGTGCTGCACTGGGCGTGCTGCACTGGGCGTGCTGCACTGGGCGTGCTGCACTGGGCGTGCTGCACTGGGCGTGCTGCACTGGGCGTGCTGCACTGGGCGTGCTGCACTGGGCGTGCTGCACTGGGCGTGCTGCACTGGGCGTGCTGCACTGGGCGTGCTGCACTGGGCGTGCTGCACTGGGCGTGCTGCACTGGGCGTGCTGCACTGGGCGTGCTGCACTGGGCGTGCTGCACTGGGCGTGCTGCACTGGGCGTGCTGCACTGGGCGTGCTGCACTGGGCTTGCTGCACTGGGCTTGCTGCACTGGGCTTGCTGCACTGGGCTTGCTGCACTGGGCTTGCTGCACTGGGCTTGCTGCATGAGTCATTGCATGGACTCACACAACAAGGTTTCACATCCTTAATGTTCCAGGGTTTTTTTTAGAAAAAAAATCCCAGCCAGGAGTCATTCTTCCCTCTCCTTCCTCCGTTTACCCTGAGCATTTCTTCTGTCCCCCGCACCCCTCCCCATTCCCATAACCCTCTCCCCGGCCAGCCAGTACCAGACTACACGGCAGCCCTCCTCCCCGTCGCCTCGCTCGGCTCCAAGCCGCTGACAGGTGTCCGCTTCGCATTGGTCCAGGAGACCATGGGCGCTGGCGTTGATGCTGACGTGGCGCAGGCCGTCCGGGCGGCGGCGGCGCACTACGAGACGCTAGGAGCCACCGTGGAGGAGGTGTCCATGCCGTTCTTCGCCAGTGGCCTGCCAGCATACTATATCCTCGCACCCTCTGAAGCCTCCTCAAATCTCTCTCGCTACGACGGCATCAGGTGCGCCCTCCCCCATCCCTCTTCTTCTCCTCTCCCCCTCTCCTTCCCTTCCCCGATGTGGAATAAACACGAGGAAAAGCCGAACCAAGATTCGGCTCTAGGCAACCCGGTGTTCTTTGTAAACCGAACTTTTCTTCTTTTCTTTCTTTGTTTCTCTCTTCTTCTTCTTTCCTCGCTGGTTTGAGTCGATTCGGTTCGGGGGCGTCTAGTGTGGCTCAGAAACATCAAGAGCAAGAGCTGCGTCAAACAGAAGCGGTTCGACGCAGGTGCAGAGTCGCGCGAGTGCCCTTTGCAATTAACACATCATTCTCCACTCCACTCCGTCTTCTTGTGCAGGTTTGGACCCCAGCAGCCAGGCACGGACCTCACGTCCCTCTACAGCAACACTCGAGGCCAGGGCTTTGGCAAGGAGGTGGGCAGTTGGCGGGAAGTGAGCATTTGGAGAGAAATGTTGCTTTGAGAGGTTGCGCAAGGTGATAATTAAAACCCGTGGGTCAAGAAGGCCAAATTTGGTTCATCCTTCCTAGTGTTGGTTGGGTGTCCCAAAAACGCCTGTGATTTTCCCGAGTTTATAACACCTCGTCTAGCAACTCCCAACCAACCTTCCTAAGGTTGAATATCTTGGCCTGCGGGTTTTAAAGATGAGGAATTCAAGGGACCTTTTTCACATTTGCACTGGTGTTCATATCTACGTGCCCCCCTCTCTCCCCCAGGGTTTCCACATCTCACGTGCTCTCTTCTCGATCTTTCCTACCTGTGTTGATGTGGCAGGTGAAGAGGCGCATTCTAATGGGCACATACGCACTCTCTGCCGGCTATTATGATGCCTACTACAAGAAGGCACAGCAGGTGAGGTGCTTCAGGTGCTTTTTCAAGTGCATTTCAGGTTCATGTTCAGAAATTTGTCCCATATGAATACATACGCCCTCTGCAGGCTACGAGATCTCTTCAGTCACAAGCCGCAAACGGTAGCCCCCTTTTTGCCCCACATTCGAAGCTTACCTTTCCCACGTGCGTGCATTGAGGTCGTTTTTGAGGCGCCTCAAAAGCAAGCTTACCTTTCCCATGTGCGACTTTTGAGGCGCCTCAAAAGCAAGCTTACCTTTCCCATGTGCGACTTTTGAGGCGCCTCAAAAGCAAGCTTACCTTTCCCACGTGCGACTTTTGAGGCGCCTCAAAAGCAAGCTTACCTTTCCCATGTGCGACTTTTGAGGCGCCTCAAAAGCAAGCTTACCTTTCCCACGTGCGTGCATTGAGGTCGTTTTTGAGGCGCCTCAAAAACGACCTTTTTGCCCCACATTCGAAGCTTACCTTTCCCACATGCGTATCTACTAGAATGCTCAGCCCCCACAATGCTTTGGCTTTTGATCATCCTCCACAATTAGCCTCCCCCAACAGTCACCACCTTCAACTCCTTCCACATCTCCTTCACCTCCTTCACCCATCTCCTTCACCTCCTTCCCCTTTCAACTCCTCCCCCCTTCACCTCCACCCCTTCTCATCACAAGCATGCACGACAATTCGGTAACATCATGCTCCCCCATGATCTAACCCCCCACTTCCTCACCTCCCCATCCCATGGCATGGCAGGTGCGCACGATGATTCGGCGGGAATTTCTGGCAGCACTGGAGAGGCATGACGCGCTCATCACCCTTTCCTCTCGCCTCCTCCCCACCCCTTTTCCCATCTCCCTTCCCCCCGTCACCACCTCCTCTTGTCACCTCCCCCTCTCATTACATGGCAGGTGCGCACGATGATTCGGCGGGAGTTTCTGGCAGCACTCGAGGGGCACGATGCTCTCATCACCCCCACCGCGCCCACCACAGCCTACAGCATTGGTAACCACACTAGGGTTGCACCAGCAGCAAGTTTTGTGAGCTTATAATTTAGCATTGGCGCGAAGCCTTCATCCCAGCTCTTGAAAGAGACGAAGCTCTCCCACTCCCTCTGTTCCCACCACTGCCTAGCGCACTAATAAGCGTGTGAAACTAGGTGGTTTTCAAATTGTCTTTAAGTAAAAGAAAGTGAACATTGTAGCGGTGTCATTTTGCATGCTCTGCTTTTCATCCTTGCCTTTAGGTTGCCAAAATTCCTGTCTCCTGTGTCCTTCTATCACCCATGCGTGCAGGTGAGAAGACATCAGACCCCCTTGCCATGTATGTTGGCATCTGATCAAACACCTATGAGGTGCCTCTGTGTCGATACGTGGCCGCAACTCTGTGGTAACACTTGGGATATATGGTTGTTGAATGCTTCCTCCCTGCCGCCCATGCGTGCAGGTGAGAAGACATCAGACCCCCTCGCCATGTATGTTGGCGACCTCATGACGGTCAGCCCTCTAAAACTTCTCCCTTACTTCTCCCAGACCTCTCCCAGACCTCTCCCAGACCTCTCCCAGACCTCTCCCAGACCTCTCCCAGACCTCTCCCATACTTCTCCCAGACTTGTCTTAAACCTTTTCTAACTTCATCTCTCTGCGTCTCATTCTTCGATCTCCCGTCCTCACTTGTTTAAGTCACTCGCCATATCCCCATGCTCATCCATTTCAGTTCGCCTCAGCTCTCTCTCGCCTTCATCACTCCACCCTTCTCCACTGCTCTATACCCCTTCACACCGCAGGTGAATGTGAACCTAGCGGGTCTACCAGCCATCTCTCTGCCCTGCGGGTTAGCCCCTGGTGGACCCCATGGTCTGCCCATCGGCCTTCAGATCATCGGCGCTCCCTTCGCTGAGGTGAGCCGTGTAATTGTGTGTGCGTCGTAATCATTGTTTTTGCCCACAAACTCTACTTCTCTGCTCTGCAGGTTAGCCCCTGGTGGGTCCCATGGCCTCCCTATCGGCCTTCAGATCATCGGTGCTCCCTTAGCGGAGGTGAGCTGAATTTGTTTCGCTTCATTTGAAGCAAGATGCATGGGAATTTCTTAGCAGCCCCATATGTGATTTTTATCGTCTGGTTTCTCGAAAACCTCATTAGCCGCCCCTCTGCCCGCCCGTTGGCATTCAGATCATCGGTTGTCATTTTGCTGAGGTACCCACACAGGCTGCCATTCTCTAAAAGATGTTCATGTGTTTGAGCATCCAGTTGTTATTTTAAGTGTCATATCAAAGGGCCCGGCCCGACCCGGGCCGTAGAAGGAAACTTTTGGCCCGAGCCCGCCCCTAAGGCGGGCGGGCTGTGCCCTGCCCGACCCGGGCTCTGCATGGCCCGACCCGGGCCGGGCCGGCCCGGCCAGGGTGCTGTTATATTCGCCCACAGGATGTATTTTTGCGCTCCGATGCGGCCCGGCCCGGCCCGTACATGGGCGGGCCAAAATCGGGCGGCTGCAGCCCGGCGGGCGGGGCTCGGGCCCACGTCGAGATTATGATGCCCGACCCGGGGCATTTCCGGGCGGGCCCTGGCCCACCTTCATTCATGCTCATCCCTACATATCACCCACCACCCACCCACCACCACCCATGACCCCCACAACCCTCTCTCCCTTCCCCCCTCCTTCCACAGGCGGCAATTCTCAAGTACGCACATGTGTTTGAGCAGACCAGTTGTCTTCCAAGGTGCCCCACCACCCACCGCCCACCAACGCCCCCTCTCCTCCCTCTCCTCCCTCTTTACACAGGCGGCAATTCTCAAGTACGCACATGTGTTTGAGCAGACCAGTTGTCTTCCAAGGTGCCCCACCACCCACCGCCCACCAACGCCCCCTCTCCTCCCTCTCCTCCCTCTTTACACAGGCGACCATTCTCAAGTACGCACATGTGTTTGAGCAGACCACTCCTGCATGGCAATCAGGACTCGCCATTGCATCTCCTGTTACTGCCGCTGCTTCCACGTAGACGTTCTGATAGTACCACAACCTTAGTCGCATAGCACTGCAACTCGTGTTGTTGCAAGCATGTTGCTGCAGCTCCCAAAATGATTCAAAGGGCAAAGCAAACAAGACATTTCTGTTGCTGCCTTTGCAAGTACTTGCAGCAGTACAGCCTGAGACAACTTAAAAAAGCTTCACAAATGAGTTGTAATATTAGAATTTGAATAGTTCTGAGCATCTGTCATAACCCAACTCCTCATACTGCTTCTTCGTGACTGCTTTGCGAGCAAATTCTCCTGACTTGACTAACTCAGAGCCTCCCTTCCATGCACTCACCACTGGGCTGCGAAATACACCGCACAGCACACACACCAAACACACAAAGACCGCACACCAAACGCAGAGACACAAATGTCAATTGATACACGGTCGCAATAACAACACTCACTCCAAGCAGGAACTTTTGTAGCCATGTTGGGTCAGTGAGTCACACCACAGAGGGCCGATTCAAGCACTCATGAACCCATGCATACCCGCATGCATGGAGTGATGAAGGGAGATCAGGGGATCATGCACATTGCGAGGTGACTTTTGAGTCGACTCAAAAGTCACCTCGACTCAAAAGTCGCATGCATGGAGTGATGAAGGGAGATCAGGGGATCATGCACCTTGCGAGGTGACTTTTGAGTCGACTCAAAAGTCACCTCGACTCAAAAGTGGCATGCATGGAGTGATGAAGGGAGATCAGGGGATCATGCACCTTGCGAGGTGACTTTTGAGTCGACTCAAAAGTCACCTCGACTCAAAAGTCGCATGCATGGAGTGATGAAGGGAGATCAGGGGATCATGCACCTTGCGAGGTGACTTTTGAGTCGACTCAAAAGTCACCTCGACTCAAAAGTGGCATGCATGGAGTGATGAAGGGAGATCAGGGGATCATGCACCTTGCGAGGTGACTTTTGAGTCGACTCAAAAGTCACCTCGACTCAAAAGTCGCATGCATGGAGTGATGAAGGGAGATCAGGGGATCATGCACCTTGCGAGGTGACTTTTGAGTCGACTCAAAAGTCACCTCGACTCAAAAGTGGCATGCATGGAGTGATGAAGGGAGATCAGGGGATCATGCACCTTGCGAGGTGACTTTTGAGTCGACTCAAAAGTCACCTCGACTCAAAAGTCGCATGCATGGAGTGATGAAGGGAGATCAGGGGATCATGCACCTTGCGAGGTGACTTTTGAGTCGACTCAAAAGTCACCTCGACTCAAAAGTGGCATGCATGGAGTGATGAAGGGAGATCAGGGGATCATGCACCTTGCGAGGTGACTTTTGAGTCGACTCAAAAGTCACCTCGACTCAAAAGTCGCATGCATGGAGTGATGAAGGGAGATCAGGGGAACATGCACCTTGCGAGGTGACTTTTGAGTCGACTCAAAAGTCACCTCGACTCAAAAGTGGCATGCATGGAGTGATGAAGGGAGATCAGGGGATCATGCACCTTGCATGCGAATCTGCAGGGAACGGGTATGCAACATACCCCCGAGTTGATGGAACGGGACTATCCAGGGTAATGGTGTCGGGAAGAACTATTGAGGAGATGCATCTTGAGGGTAAGTGACTCACTAGAGTTTACTATACACACACCTTTGGGAGAGAGAGATGTTAATGGGTAGTGAGTCGGGCACAAGGGGTCGCAACTCCAGTGCCCTGCCAGAACCAACAAGGCACAGGGAGAAGGGGAAAGGGAAGAGGGGGGGGGGAAGGGCGGAAGGGCAGGGGCAGACAGGGCCGCCTAAAAAACCGACTCATGGGATGTTAATGGGTAGTGAGTCGGGCACAAAGGGTCTCAGCTCCAATGCCTTGCCAGAACCAACAAGGCACAGGGAGAAGGGAAGAGGGGGGAAGGGGGGAAGGGTACGTAGGTTGGGATACTCGAGACAGTTTATGTGATAACACATGTGATTGAATGTGACATACATCAGCATGATGGAGTGGGACACGTTGACAGCAGCAGCGCCAAAACATGGCGTGATCACGTCCAAAATGGTGAAAATACTTTTTTTTGGCAAAGCGAATAACGCACATATTATGGACTTGAAACTGAGTAATACTTGCAGTAATAAATCTCGCTGAGATAGGTTAGCAAAACTTACAGCCGCTCTTTGAAGAATGGGAACTGACAGCTGCCGCCCACCAGTACAATGCTGCCACGTGGGGTGCATGTGGGAGGTGGGTGGGAGAGGTGACTTGGAGAGGTGATGCGGCAGAAGAGAGAGGAGAGGAGAGGAGAGACGAGAGGCGAAAGACGGGAGAAGAGAGCAAAGAGGAGACCAGAGAGAAAAGTATAGAGATGAAAGGAGGAGAAAGTAGGAGTGACGAGAGCAGAAGAAAGAGGAGAGAGTAGAGAGAGGCGAGAGGAGAGAGGAGAGGGGGAAGGGCGTACTTTGAGTAGAGCAGAGGGTGGATGACTCGAGGAGCAGCAGTCACAGCCGCCACTATTGTCTCTGCGAGGCCTGCCTGGCTGACACCTGGCAGCAAGAGGGGGGCAGACGGGGTGGAGGGAAGCAGGGGGTGGATGACTCGAGGAGCAGCGCTCACAGCCGCCACCATGGTGTCTGCCAGCCCTGCCTGGCCCATTCCTGGTGACGCAAGCCGGAGGGCAGACGGAAGGTGGCAGGGCAGAGAGAGTGAACGAGAGGGTGAGAGGGCCGTAGATGACTCGACTCACAGCCGCCATTATTGTCTCTGCCAGCCCTGCCTGGCCCATTCCTGGTGACGCAAGCCGGAGGGCAGACGGAAGGTGGCAGGGCAGAGAGAGTGAACGAGAGGGTGAGAGGGCCGTAGATGACTCGACTCACAGCCACCATTATTGTCTCTGCCAGCCCTGCCTGGCCCATTCCTGGTGACGCAAGCCGGAGGGCAGACGGAAGGTGGCAGGGCAGAGAGAGTGAACGAGAGGGTGAGAGGGCCGTAGATGACTCGACTCACAGCCGCCATTATTGTCTCTGCCAGCCCTGCCTGGCCCATTCCTGGTGACGCAAGCCGGAGGGCAGACGGAAGGTGGCAGGGCAGAGAGAGTGAACGAGAGGGTGAGAGGGCCGTAGATGACTCGACTCACAGCCGCCATTATTGTCTCTGCCAGCCCTGCCTGGCCCATTCCTGGTGACGCAAGCCGGAGGGCAGACGGAAGGTGGCAGGGCAGAGAGAGTGAACGAGAGGGTGAGAGGGCCGTAGATGACTCGACTCACAGCCGCCATTATTGTCTCTGCCAGCCCTGCCTGGCCCATTCCTGGTGACGCAAGCCGGAGGGCAGACGGAAGGTGGCAGGGCAGAGAGAGTGAACGAGAGGGTGAGAGGGCCGTAGATGACTCGACTCACAGCCGCCATTATTGTCTCTGCCAGCCCTGCCTGGCCCATTCCTGGTGACGCAAGCCGGAGGGCAGACGGAAGGTGGCAGGGCAGAGAGAGTGAACGAGAGGGTGAGAGGGCCGTAGATGACTCGACTCACAGCCGCCATTATTGTCTCTGCCAGCCCTGCCTGGCCCATTCCTGGTGACGCAAGCCGGAGGGCAGACGGAAGGTGGCAGGGCAGAGAGAGTGAACGAGAGGGTGAGAGGGCCGTAGATGACTCGACTCACAGCCGCCATTATTGTCTCTGCCAGCCCTGCCTGGCCCATTCCTGGTGACGCAAGCCGGAGGGCAGACGGAAGGTGGCAGGGCAGAGAGAGTGAACGAGAGGGTGAGAGGGCCGTAGATGACTCGACTCACAGCCGCCATTATTGTCTCTGCCAGCCCTGCCTGGCCCACTCCTAGTGGCGTCAGATGGATATGGACCATTCAGAGGAGGAAGGGAGATGGGGTGGAGGGGAGGTGATGAGGGGTGACAGCGCTCACAGCCACCATTATTGTCTCTGCCTGCCCTGCCTGCTCCACTCCTGGCGACGAGAGATGGATAAGCAGCATTCGGGGCAGCGTGGAGGGTGGGCGCGTGGGTGAGGTGACGGGGAGACGGGGAGAGGCAGCCAGCGGCAAGAAACAGCCAGAAGGAGGTGAAAGCGAAACCAGCAGCAGCAGCAGCAGCAACAGCAGGAGCGGGAGCAGGAGGGGGAATAAGCAGCAAGCAGCAAGCAGCCAGTGTGGAAAGATGGGACACCGTGCGTTTGAGTGTGCGGAGAACCCAAGGAGCAGAAACTACAAAGGATCATACCCAGGTCGGAGGGATGGAAGAGGCCCTCTGGCACCATAAAGCGTTCCGATGCCAGTGATAGCTCCTGGGGAAGGGATGGGAGAGAGGGGGGGAGAGAGTGGGGACGGGAAGGGAAACACAGTTGAGTGGAAGAGGAAGTGGTTATTCTGAAGAAGAGGAAGTGGAAGAGGCCCTCCGGCGCCATGAAGCGTTCCGATGCCAGTGATAGCTCCTGGTGGTGGGCAAGCAGGAAGAAAGCAGGAAAACCAGCAGGGGGAAGGGAGTTGAGGCGCGTCAAAGGAAGTGGAAGAGCCCCCTGTCCGGCAGTGAAAAGTCAGCGACGGGGAAACATAAAGCAAATGCTTGTCTCTCCTCACCATCCGTTTTGAGTGGAAAATAGGACGTTTGTATTTCGGGGAATAGAACTTCATTCGTTCTCCTCCGGGAAATACAACCCACCCCTCCCCGCCAGCAGACTACTCACCGGCTGCTCGCTGCTGCTTCCTCCAGTTCTGCTGCCCGGACCACCACCACCAGCAGCACCTCTGCTGTTGGCTGGTGATGGCATCACAACACTCGCCCCTCCACCAGCACCACCACTGTTACCACCACCACTACCGGCAGCAGTAGCACCACCACTGTTACCACCACCACTACCGGCAGCAGTAGCACCACCTTTGGCCTTGCCTCGCCCTTTCCTCTCATCCCAGTCCTCATCCTCCTCCTCGTCTTCCTCATCCTCATCATCCCCACCAGCAATCCCACCATCCCCACCCCTGCCACCTTGCTGCTGCCTCCGTCCTCCCTCCTCATCCCCCCGCTCCCCTTTCCACCCGCTTCTCCCTCTCTTCCTCCCCATCTCCCCGTCTTCCTCCCCTCTATCCACCCCATCGCACCCTCGCCTCGTCCTACCCTCTAGCAAAGCCCCACCTCGTTTCCTCCCTCTCGTTCCCCCTCTCGTTCCCCTTGCCTCTTCCACCTCCTCTGCTAAGTGTTGCTCCCACAGCTCCTCCTGGGCCTTCACTGCCTGCATCGCTGCTGTGCGGTCTTTCACCTGCCCGCGCAGAAGAGTGACCCCGTCGGGCAGCAAGTACTCTGCCCGGAATATGTTGCTGGCATCCCGTTTCCTGAAGAAAGAGCACGAGCACAAGCACAGAGGGTGGGAGGAGGAGGGAGGGGAAGAAGGAGGGGAGGTGGGAGGGGAGGAGGGAGGGGAAGAAGGAGGGGAGGCGGGAGGGGAGGAGGGAGGGGAGAAGAGACCTCACCTGAGGATTCGCCTGGCCAAGGGGAGCTGGCAAGCAGGGAAGACAGCCAAGACGCAGCTGCTTCTAGACATGGTCCGTCTCAACGGAGCTCACCTTGGCCAACCGCCCAGCCCACCTGAGGATTCACCTGGCTGACGGCAGGTGGCGCGTGGGGAAGAGCGAGACGAAGCAGAGCTGCTCCTTGGCATGGTCCATGATGAGTGTCTCGTCCATCATGTTCCATGCGCGGTACGACACCGCCTCCTTCAACACATTCGTCAGTGCCTTGCCGCCCACGTTCATGCGCCTGGGGTTGGGCAACAGAAGGGAGGGGGAGAAATGAGAGTACGACATGAGTTCTTATGCAACTAAATAGCAAAACTGTTGCTTTCACCGGGCAGCCTGTTGTAACAATTTTCTTTTCACCTGGCAACCTGCAACAATAATCTGCTGTTATCGCTTGACAGCCTGCAGCAGTGGTCTGTTCTTTTCTCCTGACAGGCTGCAGCAGCGGTCTGTTGTGTTCACCTGACAGCCTGCAGCAGCGGTCTGTTGTGTTCACCTGACAGCCTGCAGCAGCGGTCTGTTGTGTTCACCTGACAGCCTGCAGCAGCGGACTGTTGTGTTCACCTGACAGCCTGCAGCAGCGGTCTGTTGTGTTCACCTGACAGCCTGCAGCAGCGGTCTGTTGTGTTCACCTGACAGCCTGCAGCAGCGGACTGTTGTGTTCACCTGACAGCCTGCAGCAGCGGTCTGTTGTGTTCACCTGACAGCCTGCAGCAGCGGTCTGTTGTGTTCACCTGACAGCCTGCAGCAGCGGTCTGTTGTGTTCACCTGACAGCCTGCAGCAGCGGTCTGTTGTGTTCACCTGACAGCCTGCAGCAGCGGTCTGTTGTGTTCACCTGACAGCCTGCAGCAGCGGTCTGTTGTGTTCACCTGACAGCCTGCAGCAGCGGTCTGTTGTGTTCACCTGACAGCCTGCAGCAGCGGTCTGTTGTGTTCACCTGACAGCCTGCAGCAGCGGTCTGTTGTGTTCACCTGACAGCCTGCAGCAGCGGTCTGTTGTGTTCACCTGACAGCCTGCAGCAGCGGTCTGTTGTGTTCACCTGACAGCCTGCAGCAGCGGTCTGTTGTGTTCACCTGACAGCCTGCAGCAGCGGTCTGTTGTGTTCACCTGACAGCCTGCAGCAGCGGTCTGTTGTGTTCACCTGACAGCCTGCAGCAGCGGTCTGTTGTGTTCACCTGACAGCCTGCAGCAGCGGTCTGTTGTGTTCACCTGACAGCCTGCAGCAGCGGTCTGTTGTGTTCACCTGACAGCCTGCAGCAGCGGTCTATTGTGTTCACCTGACAGCCTGCAGCAGCAGTCTGTTGTGTTCACCTGACAGCCTGCAGCAGCGGTCTGTTGTTCCAGATGGGCACAGCATGCGTGAAGGAGAAGCCGGCATCCACCAACAGCCCACAGCCCGCTTCCAGCGCCATTGCTGAGCTGGCAGCAGCAGCTGATGACGTGGCAAGCAATGATGGCATTTGTGGTGCTGGTGGTGAGTCACGGAGCACTGAGGACTGCCCTGATGCAGCAGGACAATGGGGGTGAGACAGAGACGAAAGCAGTGCACGGGAGAGGCATGCTTGGGTGGATGGCATGAGAATGAGACGGCGAGAAAGGTGGACGAATAGAAAGGAAAAAAAAGAGTGGGGAATGCACTTACAGAGAACATGCTGCCCCGCACACACACACACACCCTCATGCCAGTACGCAAGCACAGTGGGATGGAGAGGATCAAGAGCAAGAGGAACGCACACACACACACACACACACACACACACACACACACACACACACACACACACCTCATGGCGGTACGCGAGCACGGGGGAGGGAACGGGGAGGTAGGAGCGGAAGGCAAAGTGCTCGAAGGCGAGTTCCGCCATGCTGCGCTGGATGCCCGGCAGGCTGAAGAGCGGCTCTGATACCAATAGGGACGTGCTGGACGGTTGTACCTGGGGGGGGTGCGGAGGAGGGATGGGAGGTGAAACGAGGAGTGAAGTGAGAAGAAATTGGGGATGAAGAGAGGACCTATGGGACGTGTGGCGACGAGGGATGGGAGGTGAAAAACGGAATCAGGAAGAATGTAGGCGTTGCCTGGACGAGGCAAAGATGTGGTTTTTTTTTTCATGTAGTACCTTGAGAATACCGGAGAAGGCTCGGTCCCAGATAGTTCGCTGTAGGTCCCAGTTGACCACGTAGCCCCGGTCAACGGGCCTCAGCACGCCCAAACCCTAGAAAAAGGTTGGCAAAAAGGGTAAAACCGCACCACGAAAGTAACTTTGAATGATTCAAAAATAAATGAAAACGCGGCAGGGTTGGCGAAAGCGTGGATAATGACTGATCTCGGTGATACGACCTACTACCTTGATGTCACGTGTCGACTAGGTCAGCAACAAAAGGCCGTTTCAGGCTCTTGGCTTTAGCCACGAAGTTAGGAATGACCTTCACCGGTTCCGCCTTCCCTCCAAAGCCTATCTTGCACGTGGCTCCTCCATTGTCCAAGACAACCACTCGGCCCTTTTCCATTGTTACACGGGCGGGAGTCGCGGAAACATCTATGGGCTAGCAGCGAAGCCCCTGCGTCATCCAAATGGCGCTGCTGATGGTTTTCGAAATGGCGAGCTGTACCGTTGCAGAGGCTGCTTTTATTGAATAGGCGATTATTGATTACCTATGTGTCAGATCATATTTATCGACCGGGTAAGTGCTATAACGACGATCTCTCAATCGCGTAAAAAATGGCCCAAGTTCCTCGCGAAGCCGCGTTCTCAGCACATGGCATCAGGCCGACGTGGACGTTGACACCTGCATCTTCAGGAAAGCCACCAACCGAACCTCCGCCAGATTCAGGCCCCCTAGATGTGGCAGGCAGCTCTACTCCAATCGCGAAGCGAACGCAATCCAAAAAATTCTCACCGATTGGCCACAAGCAATTTTGTGCTTCGCGTGACGCTGACGCAGCATTGTTTCAGAACACCCTTGAAGTTGACCGACCGACATCGTGATCTGCGCAAAGGGATGTCATTTTCGGGATGGCTGCTCGGTTCTGCTATTTTCTGATCGTGTTTTCTCGGTTGTGTATCCTATTTGGCATGATGTACCTCGAATCTGCTGGAGAGGAGTCTTGTTCATCAGCTATCTCCACAGGATTCATATCTCAAAAGACATTCCTGAACCTGGAATTGGCCTTCATCCCATTCCTCACTTCTCACTCCATTTGCGAGTTCAATTTCAAGCTTTCGAACTAGCTTCATACAGCAGATAGCCCTTGACCTCAGTCCTCCATTGGGCGATTTCCGGACTGAGGAGAATCCGCTAAGGCAAGATTTTGTATTTTTGTTGTTCTTGTTTGCCGCATTAATCGCACATTGAACCCCTATTCGCGTCGCACCTTTACACTCAGTCCGACGGACCTTTAGCCATGGTGTGCGATAGCTGCATCGCCACAATGTCTCACGTTCGGACGATGACCGCAGCTACCACAACGCTTAGAGTACAACCACATCCCACCATCGCCGCTCGGCCACTCTTCAGTGTCTCCCCACTGAAATCCCTTCGGCACCAAAGGAATGCCACAGTTCGACCGAACCAATCACGAATTGCAGCGGTCCGAGCGGATTCGTCAGCACCTGTCGATACAACCAATAAATCGTCGCCATCACCAATTGCATCAGCGCCTCCCAGTAGCGTGGCTACCAGCGTGCCGGGGATCGGAGGCGTGGCAGTAATGACGGACGCGACGGTTCCCGAGGGACACAAAGGGCTGCATGATTTCCTCTGGCCACGTGGCGGTTCTGACGGACACGACGGTGCCGGAGGGACACACGGGGCTTCAAGATAAGTGAAGGCTCAAGTGGCAAAAACCGAAACCACGTTACTGTCTCTCGAGTCGTCTGCAGGGATAGCTCCAGTTCTTGTGGTAGGTTGGCCTACCCATACCCGCCAGGACGGCACGTGTAGCCATTTGGGAGGGAGTCACTTTGGGAAGAAGACCCCTTGAGGCCATCCCAGTCTCCACTTCCAACAACGTCATCTTCAATCTCCGACCCTCACTCCCCCCCCTCCCCAAGCACCTTCCCCCCCCTGCCCATGCCCCCTCTCTTCCCATTCGAACCCCATGCATCCCATCATACGTGCACGAGTCCACGTCATCCGCAGAAATCGTCTCAAAAGCCATCTCCATCCCTCCCCCCTCCTCCGAACCCCTCATTCGTCCCGCCAGACGTGCACGAGGCCACGTCATCCGCATACACGGCGCGGCCAGGCGAGGACGACGGCACGCTGCTGTCGCCGGTGCAGGACTACGTGGCGGCGCGCGAGCTGCAGAAGCTCGCCGGGATCTACGCCGTGTATGACGGCGCTGGCGCGCTGCAGTACGTGGGGTACTCGCGCAACATCGTCGTGTCGCTCAAGGTGAGGTCGCCTTCGGCCTCGCATGCGGGTAGAGAAATGACCGTTGGTGCTGCACCTGGGCAGGTGGGGAGCCCCAAAACAAACCTTTAACATGTTTCCCTGTTCTTCCCCAACTTTCACCTCCTCCTCCTCTTCCCCCTGCCCTCCGCAGGGCCACAGGGTGGCAATGGGTGAGGAGCTGTGCAGATCAGTCAGGGTGCAGGTGTCTCGGGTGTGTTCTGAATCGACTCAAAACACACCTTAATCATTCTTCCTTTCCCGCTTCTCCCCGAACTCTCTCCTCCTCTCTCTTCTGCGCTCCTCTTCTCCCTACCCACCGCAGGGCCACAGGGCGGCTATGGGCGAGGAACTGTGTAGCTCTGTGAGGGTGCAGGTGTACCGGGCAGATTCACTGCTTTCCCGGGCAGTGCTGGACGGGGAGCGGAGGCGGTGGTTGCAGGAGCTCGGGCAGAGCGAAAGTTTCATGCAGACTAGCAGGTAAGCACGGATGCTCTCCTGGTTGATGCATCTCCCCGTTGGTTTCCCTTGATCACCCATTCCGAGTACCCTCCTCTTCTCCTCACCCTCTAAACTATCTTTGTGACGTGGCGCGTTCTACCCATCCAATCCCTCCACCTTCTTCCACAAATCTCTCGTCCGCCTTCTCTCCCTTTCTCCCGTCCCTCCCCCTTTTCCCCACTCTTCCCCCTAAGTTTCGCCTGGTGGGGGGCGCAGGGCGCGCAGGTGGGCGCAGCAGTCTATTTTCAATCGTCTCAAAATCATACTCCCCCCTTTTCCTCTCCTCCCCCTTCAGTTTTGCCCGGTGGGAGGCGCAGGGCGCGCAGGTGGGCGCGGCAGCAGCGGCGGCGGCGGAGGGGGGGGAGCTGAGCGATGGGGAGCGGGCGGAGCAGGAGGAGCGGCGGCTGAGGATGCGCAAGGCGATGGGGGAGAACCTGATGGACGATGAGGAGTACAGGCGGAGGGTGGAGGGCGGGGAGTCGGACGGGGAGAGCGACAGGCGGAGGATGCAGCTGCTGCAGGTGAGGGAGGGTGGTTGGAGGGATGGAGAGATGGCGGAATGGGGAAATTGTGCGATAGCCAGCTGTTCTGCTCTTGGGGTGAGGTGGGGTTGCATGGGAGAATGAGAGCGAGGTTGTTGGGTTCATTTGGGTGAGATTTGGGGGGAGGCAGAGGGGACGAGGGGGCAGAGAAGGAAGGATGCGCGTGGCGATGGGGGAGAACCTGATGGACGATGAGGAGTACAGGCGGCGGGGAGACGGACGGGGAGAGCGATAGGCGCCGGCTGCAGCTGCTGCATGTGAGGGGGGTTGGTGGGATGGAGGGATGGGGGAATGGAGTGGTGGGATGGAGGGATGGGGGAATGGAGTGGTGGGATGGAGGGATGGGGGAATGGAGTGGTGGGATGGAGGGATGGGGGGATGGAGTGGTGGGAGGGATGGGGGAATGGAGGGATGGGGGGATGGAGTGGTGGGATGGAGGGATGGGGGGATGGAGTGGTGGGATGGAGGGATAGGGTGATGGAGTGGTGGGATGGAGGGATGGGGTGATGGAGTGGTGGGATGGAGGGGTGGGGTGATGGAGTGGTGGGATGGAGGGATGGGGTGATGGAGTGGTGGGATGGAGGGATGGGGGAATGGAGTGGTGGGATGGAGGGATGGGGGGATGGAGTGGTGGGATGGAGGGATGGGGGGATGGAGTGGTGGGATGGAGGGATGGGGGAATGGAGTGGTGGGATGGAGGGATGGGGGGATGGAGTGGTGGGAGGGATGGGGGAATGGAGGGATGGGGGGATGGAGTGGTGGGAGGGATGGGGGAATGGAGGGATGGGGGGATGGAGTGGTGGGATGGAGGGATGGGGGGATGGAGTGGTGGGATGGAGGGATGGGGTGATGGAGTGGTGGGATGGAGGGATGGGGTGATGGAGTGGTGGGATGGAGGGATGGGGTGATGGAGTGGTGGGATGGAGGGATGGGGGAATGGAGTGGTGGGATGGAGGGAAGGGGGAATGGAGTGGTGGGATGGAGGGATGGGGGGATGGAGTGGTGGGATGGAGGGATGGGGGGATGGAGTGGTGGGATGGAGGGATGGGGTGATGGAGTGGTGGGATGGAGGGATGGGGGAATGGAGTGGTGGGATGGAGGGATGGGGGAATGGAGTGGTGGGATGGAGGGATGGGGGGATGGAGTGGTGGGATGGAGGGATGGGGGAATGGAGTGGTGGGATGGAGGGATGGGGGGATGGAGTGGTGGGATGGAGGGATGGGGGAATGGAGTGGTGGGATGGAGGGATGGGGGGATGGAGTGGTGGGATGGAGGGATGGGGGAATGGAGTGGTGGGATGGAGGGATGGGGGAATGGAGTGGTGGGATGGAGGGATGGGGGGATGGAGTGGTGGGAGGGATGGGGGAATGGAGGGATGGGGGGATGGAGTGGTGGGAGGGATGGGGGAATGGAGGGATGGGGGGATGGAGTGGTGGGATGGAGGGATGGGGGGATGGAGTGGTGGGATGGAGGGATGGGGTGATGGAGTGGTGGGATGGAGGGATGGGGTGATGGAGTGGTGGGATGGAGGGATGGGGTGATGGAGTGGTGGGATGGAGGGATGGGGGAATGGAGTGGTGGGATGGAGGGAAGGGGGAATGGAGTGGTGGGATGGAGGGATGGGGGGATGGAGTGGTGGGATGGAGGGATGGGGGGATGGAGTGGTGGGATGGAGGGATGGGGTGATGGAGTGGTGGGATGGAGGGATGGGGGAATGGAGTGGTGGGATGGAGGGATGGGGGAATGGAGTGGTGGGATGGAGGGATGGGGGGATGGAGTGGTGGGATGGAGGGATGGGGGAATGGAGTGGTGGGATGGAGGGATGGGGGGATGGAGTGGTGGGATGGAGGGATGGGGGAATGGAGTGGTGGGATGGAGGGATGGGGGGATGGAGTGGTGGGATGGAGGGATGGGGGAATGGAGTGGTGGGATGGAGGGACGCAGGAAAGGGTCGTGGTATGGATTGATGTGGGGATTTGGAAAGGGGAGTCGGATGGAGAGGGTGATACGCGGAGACTGCAGCTGCTGCAGTTGATGAGGGAGATCAAGGGAGAAGGTGGATTGGTGAAGTGACGGGGTGGTGGGTGTTAAGGTTAGAGAGGTTTTGAATATTAAAAGTAGAGGATAGGGACATGCGGGCGGCCTGGCAGTTCAGGGCAGTGCATGGCACGGAATGGTGTGGCATGGCATCATTTGTCCCATCTGTGTCTGTTTTGACCGTTTTGCTGCTTATAGGCCACAGAGGGCGACGACTGGAGCTCTGTGATTGACGGGCAGACGCAAGAAACCGTTTCTGCTAGAGGAAGCTCTAATGGGAAGCCTTCCAGAGCAGCGAAAGGAGAGGCGAGAGGAGCCACAGCAACAGAAGCAGCAACAGCACAGCAAGGCAGCGGGGTAGCTGCACCCTCCGCTGCTCTCCCTTCGGCAGCACCCATTGTTAGCCCGTTTGCGCGCCCAGGTGCTGCAGGCACGGGGGCAGGTGGGGGAGCAGAGGAAGCGGAGGGGAAGATGGAGCTGAGTGTTGAGTCGGCTGACCGCGTGCTGGATCGCGTGCGGCCGTACCTGGTGGCTGATGGCGGCAATGTGGAGGTGAAAGCGGTGGAGAATGGTGTTGTTATCCTGGAGCTGCAAGGTATGGGCTCCCTTGCATGCACGCACATGCACACATACGCATGCACACTCACACATTCGTGGCCCGGGTAGCAAGCAGCAACGATGAAGACGGGCATTGAGAGAGCCCTGCATGGTACATGTGAGTTGCCTCAACTGTCATCTCAATCTCCTGTTCCCACTTCTCTCCTCAGGTGTATGCAACACGTGTCCCAGCTCAGCCGCAACGATGAAGATGGGCATTGAGAGGGCCCATGTGCCTCATCCCTACCCCATGCCCTTTTGAGCCGAATCTGACGCCATGCTCTTTGTGTTCCCCCCTATCACCGCCTCAGGTGCGTGCAACACGTGTCCCAGCTCAGCCGCAACGATGAAGATGGGCATTGAGAGGGCCCTGCAGGACGCGTTTGGGGAGAAGCTCAAGGAGGTGATGCAGCTGGGTGGCGTTGACAACAGGCTCACCCTCGCTGTAAGCACACACACACACAAACCCTTGAACATGCACCCTCGCTGTAAGCACACACACACACAAACCCTTGAACATGCACCCTCGCTGTAAGCACACACACACACAAACTCTTGAACATGCACCCTCGCTGTAAGCACACACACTCACAAACCCTTGAACATGCACCCTCGCTGTAAGCACACACTCAAACCCTTGAGCACACACCCCCTCTGTAAGCACACACGCAAACCCTTGAGCACGCACCCTCGCTGTAAGCACACACACATACCTTTGAGCATGCACCCTCACTGTAAGCATGCACATGCACCCTTGCTGTAAGCCATTCCAGGTGGGTGTGCCATCCCTCCTCCTCGCTCTTATTTTCACCCGTTTTCCTTCTCCCCCTTGTGCACACAGCAGTCTGAGGTAACGTTATAGCCGACAAAGAAAACATGCCTGTGCCTCTGTGCCCTTCCACCACCTGTCCCTCTGTCTTTGCATCCTTCCCCCCTCTCTCCCTTGTGCAGGCTGTGGAGAATCATCTTTCACACCACTCTGAGCAAGTAGCGCATGTGTCAGCAGCCTGAGGTGATATTCTATAAATCCTAGCCAACTCATATTCATGCCTGTATCTCAGTGACCTTCCGCCTTCTGTCCTGTCTGCCTTGGCATCCTTCCCCCTCCTCCCCCTCGTGCAGGCTGTGGAGAATCATCTCTCGCAGGTTCTCCAACCCACTCTGAGCAAGTACGGAGCGTCAGCATCTGCAGTCTCTCTTGATCTCGTGAAGGGCTTTTGCGAAGTGCGGTTCGAGGGGCCACCGCCGATGGCCATGGGAATTCAGGCTGCTTTGAAAGACAAGTTCCCTGAAATTCGGCTTGTCAAGTTGGTATCCTGAAGCCATTGTCATGTTAGTACTCAGATACTGTATGGAACATGCTGGTTTTTTTGCAATTGAATCTGTATAGATCATGCTTGTATTAAAACGGTGTACTTTATTTATCTGATTACCTTTCTTGGGGCAGGAGGGAAATCCTTTCCTCCACCTCGTCAACCAATGCAATCGTGCACTCGAGCCGTGCACTTCCATGACACAATCTCGAGGTTTTGACACACGCAAAAGAAACGCTAAACTTTCACACTTCGATGCGATAAACAGACACGCTGCTGGTGCAACTTGTGACACGACCCCTTCCAGCGGTTTCTGGAAGGAGAGCGCCCTTCGGATCGGGAGCATTCATCGCGAATTTATTTTGTCCACCTATGGAAGCAAGGAGCTGTTACTGTAGATATCGCTGACAACCACGATCACTCCGATTCAGTGGTCGCGGGCTCAGATTTTGGTCTCCTGCTGAAATGAGTGTAACACGTACTTTCTATTCACGACACAAAGGGTAGGGGAGGGGATGACCCTGCGAATCAGCTAGTTTGCCCCTCTTTTCACCGTTTTTTTGCGTCGTGATCTGTTCCGTTGCTGTGCGCAGTGGTGGAAAAGAACCGTCTTTCACCGTGTGGTACCATCATTTCCTGTACCCTGAACCCTGAAAGGTTGTTCAAAGTACTGCACTAGCTCGACGTCGAGGAACGTCGGTGAATTTCGACGGTCGGATCAAAACTTCCAACCGTCAGGATTCACCGAAGTCCCTCGACGTCGGGTTTTTGCAGCACTTTGTACACGCTAAAACTCCCTGAACACACACGAAGGGAGCCCCAGGCCCCCCCTCATCCAATGGGGTATGTACACGTACATACGGAACGGAAACTGGTTCCCTGCCAGCTCCTTGGAGGTTTGTGTGTGTGTGCACTGCTGTGCCTGTAAGTCTTAACTGTATGTGGAGATTGGATTGGATTTGTTTAGCGTTACCGCGTAATTGCGTATGTGCATGACGTAGCTAGCGACGAGAACGTCCTCGAAGAGTCGAGTGCGGTGGACGAAGATCCGTCGGTCATCAGCAAGGAAAACCTTTCTAGATTTTTCTACCAGTACTGTACACAGACACCTGGAGTTCTTGACGACTTGATTGCCGCTTCTTCTCATCCACGACCCACAGTCAGATTTGGGCTTCCTACCGATAAAGTTTTTTCTACCGATAGGTAGAAAAGAAAACAAGTGCAGCAGCCTTCGTCCTTGATGTTGACCTGGGTTGTCCATGGCATCCTTGATACAGCGCAGATTCTAGGACGCCCAAATGGCCATCGGCGTGATACAGTACACAAGCGCGTGAAAGCTACCGCGTTGGATAAGCTTGCCACCCATTCCACTGTCGATAACTAACGGCATTCGACCGTGCCATCATCTTTCGGCTTAGGGTGCCGACCTGTGCACCAGTTGTCCCTTCTGTTGATCGTTGCCCTGACTGAATTTCCCAGCACATTGGGTGGTCAGCATATATGTTTAATATTTGATGAAACCATGGTGTCATTTTCGATATCATCATTCTTATGGCTATGAATGTCTGGCGGGCACACCACAAATTTCGATCCTAGCGATGGGGCGATCCTGCTGGAGGGCAGAATGCTGCAGGCCATCACATCCTTTTGGGAGTGTAGTACACTCCCAGAAGAGCGAAATGTATGTACAGCGCACACTGTCCGACAGGGTCATTCGAGATTATACCCGTGTTGTGTGAGCGCGCAATTTTGAGTACTGGAAGGCACACTTATGAAATCCGTGAAGTGTACAAGAATGCCTCTGTTACGGATGGAAAGAACTGCATTTTGCATCAGTGCATTGTTTAGTTAACTTTACGACACGCTGCTTATCACACTGAAGCACCCCAGCAGCAGCGAGAATCCATATCCGCATGGCTCGTTTTCGGGCATCCCTCGGCAGAGCGTAGAATGTGAGCTGGTCCTTCAAGACGAGATCCCATCCCAACTGATTCTACACGTACAGAGCGGTGTACATCGCTGCATCTGCCTTCCTCCGATCCGAGCAAGCCTTCTCCTCAGCTCAGAAAGAGTCTGGATGCGCGCGCAACATTCGATCACTCACGACGAGGCATTCCTTCCTTGCACAAAACTCCAAAACTCAAATCGAGGCTGAGGCACGGCGCCAAATCATGTCCCACTGTGAACAGTGCACTCATCAACAGCGAACCCACTGGAATGCCTGCACTGGCAGGGTCTGAGTCAGCCTGTCTGTCCGACCTGGTCCCCCCTATCCTCTCCTCGGCTTGTTTCGTCTGGTCTCCCCTCTCAAGAACCAATGCCCCTTGCAAAGCCCGCCTCATCAATCCTCATCCACCCCGCCCCCACCTCCTCTTTTACACAAACAAACACAACAGAACCTTCACCTCTCCCCCTTCCAATCCATCTCTCCGTCCCTCTCCCTCATCCTCCTCTCTCCCAAAGAGCAGAACCACCCCACTGGCATAGGAGCTCCTTCTGCAGCAAAATCCGTTGAAAATATCGCCGGCTTTTGTTGAACTTGAACGACGGAACCATAGCCTCATTTTCTCTGATAAGCTGATCCGCGAGATACGTATTTCTACGCTTTTACTTGTCGCAGCCTGCAATCTGAGTTCGCGTATTCCAGCCTACCTCAACGAATCTCCGCGTGCGAGCGTGAAAATTCTGTAACACGAGTCAACAAAGAAGGTTCAAGCTGTTTGCTACTAGGCAACCCGCCAGGCGACACTCCGAATCGGAGCCACATTAGTGATGCTTGGAAGCGCCGAGGCCGGCGGAAAGGCCGGCACGGAGGAGAAAGCCGCGTATCAGTGGAAAAAATACGGACAGAAATTTCTCGTCTCGCAGAACGCCAAAAGGTGATAAACTTACTATTGTGGAAAGTCGATGAACATCACCCCTACGCGGTTTCACCAATTCCAGGATCGCCATCTTTAGGACTCCAGTCAATCTCACAGGTTGCACAGATAATTATTTGGAATAACATCATGTCAAGTCAACCCGCTGCGGCTTCCGCGACATTTCCCTCGCTACTCCGGTGCCTCCCGTCGTTCCTGTTCCTCTATCAAGCGTCTGTCCCGCGGCTTGAGTCGCCAACGTTTTGCTAGCGAACGCGCGGAACGCTGTGAAGCCATTTTGGCGGAATTTTTTCCTCTTTTTCTGGTTTTGTCCCCCCTGATCTACTGCCACACGTCACGGACATGGCCGTCGGACCGACTCCCGGCGCCGAACGTTCTGCTACCGCCGGTTCAAAACTCGTGAGACTTCACGGCGGCCCATCATTAAACCCGCCTCCACCTCTCCTGCTCTCCTCCTTTTGCTCTTACAAACTAACGGCAGGTTCTACTACCACTGCGCGGAGCGCGACACCACCGGCTGTCCAGCGAAGCTCATAATCGACAAGGTCCCGAAAGAAGCGGCATCCTCCAAAAACGTACCCATCATCGTCCGGGCCGGCGATGGCAACGGCGACGGCGATGGCGGCGGCGGCGGCGCCCTACTAGGATCCAACTCGCCACCGTTAGTAGGCTCGCCGGCTGCTGCGGCGGCGGCGGCGGCAGCGGGTGACGAAGATGGCGCCGGGGAAGGTAGTGGCGGCAGCGGGACGGACTGGAGGGAGCACCAGGAGTTACTCGACGCGCTTCCGGTTCTCGAGCGGCGCGGCCGCACGCTCATGCCGCGGCGCGTGTGGTGCCGTGAGAAGCACAACCACCCGCCGCCGCAGCAAATCCAGCTCCCTGCGGCAGCGGGAACGGCGGCAGCGGCGTCTCCGCCCCGCCCGCAGCCGCAGCCGCCCAAGCAGCAGCCGCCGCGGCCGCAGTCTGTGGCGCCGCCGCAGGGCCGAACTGAGAGCGCCGGCACTACTTTTGGGGACAGAAAGATGCTTCGTGACTCCGGTGCATTTCCTTCACCATTCGGGAGCAATGCTACTAATCCCACCACTAGTACTACTAATTGTACTCTTCCCAGCGGGAATCCTGGGATTCCAGGTCAAATGCCGCCTCTGCTGCTGGTAGGCGGTGGCAATGGTGAGTGCCGGATGACGGAGAAGCGGAAAGAAGATCCTGGGGTTTTTAATTTCAACTTCCTGGAGGCATTGGGCAGTCAGCAGCAGCAGCAGCAGCAGCAGCAGCAGCAAACGGTCATGGCGCCATCGCCATTCGAAACGCCTCTACAGAAATCCCCACTGCCGTTTGAGGGACTTCTGAAGTCTCCGTTTGAAGCACTTCAGAAACCGCCGGTGGTGCCGGAAGGTCTACTGCAGCGTTTGCAATCACCGCTCTTTGGGAACTTTCAGAGGCCCACGGTGCAGCAGCTGGGGGGGACTGACGCTAAGGATTCTTCTGTACCCGCGTTTGCCCTTGGTCTTGGCAGCTTCAATACTTTCACTCATCTTGGTGCGTCTGCTGCTGCCGCTGGTGGTGGTGGTGCTGCTGGTACTGCTGCTGCTGCTGCTGCTGCTGCTGCTGCTGCTGCTGCTGCTGCTGCTGCTGCTGCTGCTGCTGCTGCTGCTGCTGCTGCTGCTGGGACAGCAGCCGCCATGCTGCCAGTGGCGCGGGACAGCAGCGCTGCAGCATCCTCCACCAGTGCCGCCTCTGGCAGCGGCAGTGGCGGCGGCGGCAATGGCGGCGGCAATGGTGGTGGCGGCGGTGGCGGCAACGGCGGCGGTGGTGGCGGCGGTGGCGGCAACGGCGGCGGTGGTGGCGGCGGTAGCAGCTGTCGGTCTCCCCGGCCGGGTCAGCCTGTAATCGCGCGCAAGAGATCTAAAACGACGATGGATATGTGCTTTGCTGATGCCGCCGCTGCTGCTGCTGCTTTTGCTGATGGCGCTGCCGCTGCTTTTGCCGATGGCGCTGCTGCTGGTAATGTTGTTGCTCCCCGCAATGCTGCTGCTGCTGCTGCTGCTGCTGCTGGAGGCAAGCGGCCATACCTGTTTCTCGACGCTAGCACGAGCAGCAACAGTTGGAGCCCTCGCACCCTCTGGGGTGAGGACTCGCCACAGCCATTGCCTCTGGGAGCAGCAGCAGCGCCGCCGCTCAGATCTGACCGATTCTTGAGCCGACTCCAGAGCAGCCCGTGTGTTCCCCGGGCGGCAGACTCGCCGCTTCGGCCAGAATCCGACGGGCTCAGATCGGATCCGTTTCTGAGCCGACTCACAGGCAGCCCGGGTGCTCCGCGGCGGTCTGCTGACGCGGCGGCTCTGCTGATGGGAGCAGCGAGCAAAGCGAGCCAAGGCCGGAGGGAGGGCGGTGGAGACTCGTCGATGCTGCTGGCCCGAGGGAGGGCGGAGGGAGCAGCGAGTAGAGCGAGTCAGGGCGGGCGGGAGGGCTGTGGAGAGTCTGGGATGAACGTGATGAGCGGACAGCGCGTGAGTGAGGAGGAATTTGGAGCATTGCGGCTGAGCAGAAGTGTAGGTTCGTCTGCTGATGGTGGCTTTCCGTCGGCCGCGATTTCAGCGATTGCTGCAGCTGCTGCGGCGGCGGCAGCTGCGGCGGCCGCTGCCGCTGGTGGTGGTGGTGGTGGTGGTGCTGGTACTAGCCCTAGCGCTGGTGCTGGTGGTGTGCCTCTTGGATCAATGCATGCAGCCGCAGCCGCACAGGCAGCTGCAATGATGATTCTCGGTAAGGCTTCAGGCGGATTGTCATTGTCAAGTGCGTCTGTGCAGCAAGGAGGACTTGGAGGAGGCGCAGTTGTAGCAGTAGGAGCAGGAGTAGGAGCAGGAGGGGGAGCAGGAGGGGGAGCAGGAGGAGGAGCAGGAGGAGGAGCAGGAGGAGGAGCAGGAGGAGGAGCAGGAGGAGGAGGAGGAGGAGGAGCTAATCTGAACTTTGCTGCTAATGCTACAGCTGCCACTGGTGCAGCAGCTGCTGCTGAAGGGATTGAATCTGCTTCGCTGAAGAGCAGTGAGAGGTCTAGCATGCTTTTGTCTTACCTTGCAGGGAATGATGTTGCGGCATCCGGAGCGTTGAGTAGTGGTGCTGTTCAGAGTCAGCTGGTTAGGCAGATGCAAGAGCAGGCGCAGCAAGTGCTGCTGCAGCAACAGCGGCAACAGCAACTGCAGCAGCAGCAGCTGCAGCAGCATGTGCAGCAGCAGCAACAGCTGCAGCAACATTTGCAGCTACAACTGCAGCAGCAGCAGTTGCAGCAACAGGTGCAGGGGCAAATGCTTCAGCAGCATTTGCAGCAGCAGGTGCAGGAGAAATTGCAGCAACGCCTGAGACAGCAAGCACAGCAGCAACAACTGCAACAGCAAGCACAGCAACAACAACTGCAACAGCAAGCACAGCAGCAACAACTGCAACAGCAAGCACAGCAACAACAACTGCAACAGCAAGCACAGCAGCAACAACTGCAACAGCAAGCACAGCAACAACAACTGCAACAGCAAGCACAGCAGCAGCAGCAGCAGCAGCAGCAGCAGCAGCAGCAGCAGCAGCAGCAGCAGCAGCAGCAGCAGCAGCAGCAGCAGCAGCAGCAGCAGCAACAGCAATCGCAGCAGCAGCAGTTAGAGCAGTTTCAGGCACAATACCTGCAATGGTACCGGAGGCAACAGGCCCAGCAGGAGAAACAGCAGCACCAGGAGCAACAGCAGCAACAGCATCATCAAGAGCAGCAGCAGCAGCAGCAGCAGATAATGCCTTCCCTTCCGGGTCCTGACCTGCTCTCTGCAACAATGTTTCCCAACATTCGAGCTGCTCTACTCGGCTTCAATTCCCCAGGAGCATCTTCCCCACTGGTTTCCGCACTCGCCTCGGCACCCGCCCTGCCTCCACCTCCCCCAGTTGTACCTCCTCCGCACAACTCTCCACCCATGGCAAGCAGTCAGCCTGCAACTGCAACCGCGCAGGTCAGCACGGCAGGGAGCAAAGAAGGGGCTGGTGGTGAAGAGAGAATTGATCCCACCCTTAGGAGTGGCCCTCACCTGCCCTCTGGAAGTGCTCCTGCTGCCTCGATTCTTCACCAAGGAAGCGATAGTCTACGATTTGATTCTGTGACCTTGAGCTCCAGGTCAGGGCTTGGAGTGGATGGAGGAGGTGTGGGTGGTGTGAAGGGCACAGGGTCTGATGGTGGGGGCATGGAGTTGGACCTGATTGGTCAGTTTGATGCAGCAGGTTCTAGCTGTAGACATGCCATTGCAGGCCCGCAATTCCCTTCCACAAAACTGCACTTGTAGTGCGTATTTTGTTTTGCCATGGATCGACGATGTCTGATAGTTTCACCATGATGTCTGATGGTTTTGCTAAACCCTACACCCATAAGTAGCCGTACGATGACGCCAGCAAGGTGACGCTTGTCAAACGCCGATTCATGTGTATTGCTTTGGCTGTGGGAGATGGTTGAGGTGAGAAGCGGCTCTTGTCGCAATGTACAGTTGAGTTGAGTCCCTTCTATGTTCTTGAATACGTCATGCTAGTGCACACTCACACACGCACGCACGAACGTACACCACGCACCCGCACACATACGCACACACACATCACTTATGTTTTGGAGGTGTACACTTAGGCTATGTTAGGTTTCAGCTATACAGGCATGTCTTCCTGTTTTGTACCGCCTGTACCTAAATGTCATATTCTAGACAATTCTCATTTCTTCACTGGTATCATCGTTAGGTTTAGGTCTACCGCTTCCGCCCTGCCTACCATAGCTACCCTATTACCGTCCCTAGCGTCCTAGAGCGCCATGTCGCGCACCTAGAGCGCCCCCTAGAATGCCCTGGCGTTCCCATATTGCACCCATAGTCGAGCCCTATAGCGCCCTCATCATAACCCTAGCGCGCTCTTGTCACGCTAGGGGTATCCTTGCCGCGCTCCTAGCGCACCTCGTCGGGCCCCTAGCGCGCCTCCCGCCACGCCCTCTGTCAGAATGTGATATTTGTCTAGCCTGCAGTGGGGTACTCTATAGCGAGTATAGCCCAAATTAGGGTTTCCTATATGTACTCAACTGCCTGCTAGTGCAACACCTCTTCTTTGTTTTATTCTTGATTCCTACTTTCTGACATGGAATTAGAGCAGAATCGTTCCTAGGGCCCACCGAACGTGGCAGAAGCAGAGGGCTAGTGAGGAGGAGGAGGAAACTGGAGAGGAGACGAGGTGGGCGGCCGCTGAAGCTGCTGGCACTGGTCGCAAACGGCATAACTGGCTCTGCTCGCCGGCAAGAGCAACTGACCCTCTGGGGACCGGAGCAACGGGTAACCGGAGTAACTGGCTCGCTCGCCGGCAAGAGCAACTGACCCACGGGCCTCTGACGCATCGGTCTCACGGGCGACTAGAGATGCGGACTTCACGGCGGCCACCCGCCCTCACCCCCCTTGTATTGTCCCACCCCCCCCGTATCACACCCCTCGGCCCTAGCGCCACTCCCAAGTCTCTCCCCCACACCCTCCCCCCCTTTCAGTTGCAGCTGCAGCAGTGGGAGAGAGAGGAGGAGGAGCGGCAGCTCAACACGCACGCCCGCCACCCCCATACCCCCCCCCCCACGGATGCAGGCGCAGTAGGGAGATGGAGTCGAGGGGGTGGGGTAGGAGCTGCTCCACGGCTGCCCGCCACCCCCATACCTCCCCCCCCCCCCACGACTGCACGCGTAGCAGGGAGAAGGAGGCGGGGGGGGGGGCGGGGTAGGAGCCGCACCGTGGCTGCAGGTTCTGGCGCGCGCCCGAGGCGCGCAGCGTGCAGAGATCCGCGCGCGCCCCGGGCGCGCGACGGGCAGGGGCTGGCGCGCGGGTCCCCTGGGGCGCCGCGACGGGCGACGGGGGGGGCGACGCGCGGGTTCCTGGGGGCGCCGCGACGGGCGACGGGGGGCGACGCGCGGGTCCCCGGGGGCGCCGTGACGGACGACGGGGACGGCGCGACAGTGCCCGGGGGCGCCGCGACGGACGACGGGGGCGGCGCGCTGGTCCCCGGGGGTGCCGCGACGAACGACGGGGACGGCGCGCTGGTCCCTGGGGGCGCCGCGACGGACGACGGGGCGTGAAACCGCCGCGCGCGCCGAGCGCGTGGCGGGCAGGAAACCGCCACGCGCCCCGAGCGCGTGGCGGGCAGAAAACCGCCGCACACCACTGGGCGCGCGGGGGGCAGGAAACCGCCGTGCACCACGGGGCGCGCGGGGGGCAGAAAACCGCCACGCACCACGGGGCGCGCGGCGGGCTGAAAAATGTCGCGCTCTTGGGGCGCGCGACTAACAGGATAGTAGCGGAAGCAGTAAGGCCCATCCACAGGATCGACCAAGGAGGGTCGACCTGCTCTGATAGCATGTTAGAATAAGCAGGTATGAATGTTAGAACAGAAAAGGGGGTTTTCACTAGCAGCAGATAGGATACATATAGCAAACCCTAATCGGGCCGTACTCACTATAGAGTACCCCACCGCAGACTAGACAAATAACACGTTCTTACACCCTCCGCCCCACCCTCCCTGTTAGAGAGCAATGTTACACGCACCAGCAGCTGTGCACGCAAACGCACGCGCTACCCCACGCGCTGCCCCACCCCCGTTACGAGCAGCACCAGTCGTGGGGGGAGGCAACAGGGGTGGCGGTGGTGGCTGACGCAGCTCCTGCTGCCACACTGCTGCTGCGCCGCCTGATCCGCCGCCGCCCGCCCTTTCTTCCCTCTCACTGCTGCTCATGCACTAGTGGGGGCAGGGGGGGAGGGAGTGGGGGTCACGGTTGTGACCAGCCAGCAGCCGTCCCTCCACCCTGCCGCTGCTTCCGTCGTGGGGCGAATGATGGTGAGGGGGTGGTGACGGGTGTGACCAGGCAGCCATCAACAGCTGCCTCTCAAATCCTCCTCCTCCACTCTCTCTCTCCCTGCAGCACCTATCACTGTTGTGTGGGGGGGGGGGGGGGGGGGAGGGGAGGTTGGGAGTGTGTTTTCTATTTCGGTTTCAATCGTGATACCATCTCTGTCAAATCTATATGTTTGTTAGCTTGTAGGCTACATTGAGGTTCACACTAGAGGGGATAACTCAATTAGGGTTTCCTATTTGTATCCAACTGTTGCCTAGTTCATTCATTCCGCCAACATGGTTTCAGAGCAGACCCAAACCTAGGACCGTTTTTTTTTTAGGGCCCACCGTCACTTCTGCCACAGGAGCTGCTGCCGTTGCGCGCTGCCTTGCTCGCCGCGAGTGTTACCTGCCCTGCCCTGCCCCGCGCGGTCGTGCTGCTCCGCGCTGCCCTGCTGCCGCGCGTGCTGCACTGCTACTCGCACTGCCCCGCCGCGCGCTGCCCTGCTCGCCGCGCGCGTGCCCTGCTCGCCGCGCGCGTGCCCTGCCCTGCCCTGCGTGCCCCGCATGCCCTGCTGCCCCGCGTGCCAGTACGCCCTACTGCCCAGCGCACCGGCGCGCCCTGCTGCCCACCGCGCCAGCGCGCCCTGCTGTCTAGCGCGCTAGCGCGCCCTGCTGCCCAAGGACCCGTGCCCTGCCTTGTAAGCGCCTTGCCCGGGCGCATGCGCCCTGCCCCGCGCTGCTGCCTTGCACGCGCACCTGCCCTGCCCTGCTCGCGCTGCCCGCGCCTGCCCTGCCCGCGCGCAAGTGCCGCCTGCTGCTGCCCTAGGTGCTGTGCCCCTAGGTGCTGCCGCCTGCTGCTGCCGCCCTAGGTGCTGCTGCCCCGCGTTGCCCTGTCCCGCGCTAGCGCCGCCTTTCTCCGAGTGCTGCTATGCTGCTACTACTGCCTGTGCTACTGCTGTTGCGCTGCTGCTGCTACTAAGCTGCAGCTGCTGGTACTAGCTACCACTGCTTGCCATGGCCACTACCACTGTCCTACGTCAGCGGCAGCCGAGTGTGCAGGAGTCTCTCTCGCCGCAGCAGCTTCGCGAGTGGGCTATCTGGTGGGGCAGCCCCGGTGGCGGAGCTAGCCGTGCTAGAGTTGGAGGTGCTGGTGCTGGCGGTCCTCGTACTCGTCGGCAGGAGACGCTCTCGTCGCAGCAGCTTCGCAAGAAGGCTGTCCGGTGGGGCAGCCCCAGTGGCGGAGCCTGGGGTGCTACTACTGGAGGTCCCTATGAGTCTACTCCTGCTGGTAGTGCCGCTGGTAGACGCGAAGAGTCTGGGGGTGGACAGCAGCAGCAGCAGCATCCGCCGGAGACTCTCTCCTCGCAGAAGCTTCGTGAGTGGGCTGTCCGGTGGGGCAGCCCCCGGTGGCGGAGGGTTCTGGGGTACTCGAACAGGGGGTGTAGAGGCACCTGGTGGCATAGAGGCTGCTAGTCTTGGTGCTTTTGACTCAGCTAGCGCAGGGGCAGAGCCTGAGGAGGCCTTGCACACTTTACCCTAGACTCAGGCGCGTCTTGCTGCTTCTTCCGCGACAGCACCACAGTCACACCGCTCACAGCCCCTGTCCCTGTCACACTGGTCGACCCCTCCGGTGGTCCTTTAATCGTGCATGGCGCTACTGTTCTCCCGTGTCCAGCGGCCCCTTCCGGCCTCCCCACATGTCTCCACCTCCCCTCGTTCACTAAGAACTTGGTGGCTACCTCTGTCCTCCAGGACCAGTGAGTCACTGTCACCCAGCCTGGAGGAGAGCTTGTGGCGATCTGTACGGACTCACGCACTGGCGAGCACATCGCCATGTTCACTCGGAGGCCCGGGTGGTCTGTACATACTGACTACTGAGTCTGCACTGGTGGCTAAGTCAGGTCAGGTAGCTGCGTCGGTTGAGGTCGCTGCGTCTTGTTCGTGTCGTCTCCTCACGCACCAGACTCTCCTCTGGCACCACCGTCTTGGACACCCCTCCTTACTAAACCTGCGTGGCATGCATTCCCGTCTCCTTGTGACTGGTCTTCCCAGGTCCTTGCCCCCACTTCCAAGGTCGATTGCACCACCCTGCCTTCCCTGCCGCTCCTCACTTCTTCTCGTTTCCTCCTACCACTGCCCCTCTGCAGACCCTCCACATGGACGTATGGGGCCCCGCCCTTGTCACTGGACAGGGTGGCGAGCGCTAATTTCTGCTCGTTGTTAGCGACTAGACGTGCTACACCATGGTCTTCCCCTTGCAGAGCAAGGCGGAGGTCTGCAGTGTCCTGATCCGCTGGATCCGCGCTGTCCGTCTCGAGCTTAGCGCTCGGTTCCGGCAGGACCTTCCAATCGTGCGGCTGCACTTTGACCGAGATGGTGAGTTTTCCTCCCGCCTTCTCGAGGACTTCTGTGGTGCTGAGGGCATCCGCCAGTCGTTCACGCTTCC